TTTGTTATATCTCAGACTTGTCCTTTCACGTGAAAAAATTTGATTTTTTTTAGCAGTGAGATTGGTCGCCACGCTAACAAAGATGGATGTTTTCAAAAGAAGGTGAAGTTCTGTGCGCGGGTGACGTTTACAGGTAATTGCTTTCAGAATTCAGCTGTACGAGCTTGGGTCTCACCGACAAATTTATTGCCAGCTCAAGGCATCCATATATAGGATTAGCTTTTGGTGTTTTTTAAAATAAATAAAAAACTCTGCCCGTTTAAAAAATTTTTAAACGGGCAGAGAAAAATAAAGAAACAAAAATACAAATGCGATCTAGCCTGTCTTCTCTATGCAATTTTTTAGATTAATAATATTTAATACTGAATTAAAAATATCACGGATGCTTGAATTTCATCTAATGCTGTCTTGATACGATTTTTTTATTCCGATCGTGATAAATTTTGTCGTAAACTACAATTGTTTAGTAATTCCTGTCTAATTGTGGGTCATAAAAATTGCACGCCCGATTGGTTCACACCAAAAAGAAGCTGATAAACTTTTGATATAATGAGTATTCTGTCTCCGATATATTCATGATATTGATTTCATGAGATTTTAATGACGAGTATTTAGTTATTACTGAAGTCCTGCTTCTGATGACATTATGTGGAATGATGGATATTGCAAGCATCTGCCGGTAAAGCTTAACATGGAAATTTTGGCAGAAAATTCAAGCCAAAGCCTGGGTGGTAAATCAAGTAAATTTTTCCGTTAATAAAAAAGGACCAAAAAACTTAAAATGAACAATAGCTTAGGATAATAACTGTTCTGTCAAGAAAAACTAATGTTTAGATAGAAAGGTTCTTGTCTTGTATCAACTTAACGCTATTTGTGCTAGGGAACTAATAGTGTGCGGACTGACAGCAGCTGACAGCTGAACATTCGGTGGCCCCGGAAATACGAGGGTCACCCGGAAAGTTGTACCCGTTTGGGAATTGAACAAAAGGAAGTTAATATTAACAAATGTAAACATGTTTATTGAAAAGAACATGTATTACACTACTTCTCTACATAATATCGGGACAAATTTCAGCATTTTTCGTGTCGTATCACGAGTTTTTGCATACCAGTGTCATATTCCTCCGCCGCCAGTGTTTCTGGGATCGGCAAGGTGTACTGCTCATCGATTTCATGACCCGTGGAGACACAATCAATGCCAATGCATATTGTGCAACATTAAAAAATTACGGGGGCAATTCAAAATCGACGGCGAGGTCTGTTGTCTACTGGTGTCATTCTCGTGCACGATAATTCCAGGCCGCATACGGCTCGGATAACACAACAACTTCTTCAAAAATTCAACAACTCCCTTGGCTCTTTCAGATTTTCATCTGTTTACGAAACTCAAGGCCTTTGTGGCAGGGACAAAGTTTCAAAATGACAAAGAACTGAAAGAACACGTGACTGCGTACCTCAATACACTGGCGGCGGAGGAATATGACACTGGTATGCAAAAACTCGTGATACGACACGAAAAATGCTGAAATTTGTCCGGAGATTATGTAGAGAAGTAGTGCAATACTTGTTCTTTTCAATAAACATGTTTACATTTGTTAATATTTGCTTCCTATTGTTCAATTTCCAAACGGGTACTACTTTCCGGATGACCCTTGTATCAACCAAGAATTTCAGTACCTTAAGACTTCACCACCTGTGAGGAAGTAAACAGACTTTATGTAATTTAAATCTTTGCTGTATATTTATTGCAAATAGAATTGAATAGAATAGAATAGAAGTGTCGGCGTTGAAGACATAGGCCCAATGGCCTGTTGCCGATTCTTGAACTTTTCGTGACTTGATTCACAAGGGATCCGGCCTTTGGAACCCGATCTTTCCATAACTGACGATTGATTGAGATAGCTGCTGGACTTATTGCCTGCNACCATTCAAATAATTCAGTTTCGAAATAACTTTAGAAGGCCGTTGACTGCTCCTCCTCATGCTTAGCCGTATGTTTCATCGCTGATTTCAATGGTTTCACATCACGTCGGAAAGAAGCAAGGGAAGAAATGCTATTAGGACTTTCTATTCTTCGCAGAAACTCCGTCCGTACTGAAGTATTAGACTCAGCACGCGTTAAAGTCTGGCGATATGTTTGCAAGGCGTCCCGCTCTCGGCTGCTTTTCACTCGACGCGACGTAGTATGTTCGTCGCGAAACTGAACGGGAGGCGCGATGGCTGCTGGGCTTGCCGAACTTATGAGGCTCATAAGCGCTAGACTGTCACTCGGTGGCACATCAGTTGATTGTCTCACGTCATTTGGTCTGTGTGGCGTCGCTCCTCGAGGCAGGTTTCGAAAATGCTGCCGCTGCAGAGAATTGGCACACGGATCCAGGATGGGCAACTGACATGAACTTCCTTGAAGCAAATCTGAGCACGAGCGTTGCGCTTCATATTCCAATCTCATGAGCCGCTTCTGGAGATCTACTCGTGCGTTTATCTGGAAGTCACAAGTGACTGGAGTTTCCTGTAGAAAGGAACCTCCACTTCTTACTCGTGAAGAATTGGAAGACGCATCAAAATTCATTGTCAGTGTCCCTGCGCCAGCACATGATGAAGTAAGAAAAGGTTCTGCCAATGCTGGTGTTTCCGCGAAGTGGTTATGGCTACTTTTTAGCGCATCTTCAGTGTTTGTAGGCGTAGATTTAGATTCTTTGATGTTCTGTGCTTGTGAGCGCGGTGGTCGCTTTCTTACATCAGCGTCCTTGAGATTTTTCAGTAAATCGATAACGTAAGTAAAGCCTGGAGCAAGCGGCTTGATCGCAGTGCCAACAACGGCATCATTGACGTCTTGTCTCGCAGTAATTATTTCCCTTCGGAGGCCTGCGAAGGAAGGAAGTCTGAATTATTGTTATGTTATCACATATATTGCAAAAACATCTTCGGTACAATATTCATGTCAAATAAAGATTGAGTTTGGCCATGACCAGTCAGGCAACAACAGTTATTCAATATTTATGTGTAAGTTTTATATACGGTCTAAACTAGGGAAGTTATTTGAGCCCCTATTGTCAGAGTAAAATTTTACCTAGCTTTTCTCGAAGATCAAGAAATGATTATAATTACACTTTTGTACGCAATTGCACGAATAGAGAATAATACTTGCTCTATGATTCATCATACATGCTCTATGAGGAATAATGGCGTATAGGTCATAGATAAACGTTATATTAGAGAATAATGTCGAATATCACCCATTGAAAAATAAACATTCATTTAATGCAGGAATACAGAAAATGCTGAGCAAAGTGAAACACAAGAAAATTAGATTAATTCTTCATTTTCATTATTATTTTTCATTTAGGTACAGGATATAGGGCGATCGAAAATTCAATGTTATATACCCCACTTGACTACCCAAACATTATTCGAAATTCTTCAACTCAGTCACATTATTAAACAAATTCTAGCAAATGAGCCTGAATTGCATTTTTAAATAAATATAATTTTTCTCCAACGGATGAAGGCCATAAACTTGGCGTTTGCCTTCACAAGACTCTGCCGTCTAGACCAAACGGAAAATAAGTTCTCAGCGGAAGAAGCTCTGTGTAATACGAGCAACTGCAATGAAGAGATACTGCGAAAATTTTTATGAAGAAATTAATTCTTAGTTACAGAGACTTGAAGATTTTGGGATGAAACTTAACAAAAATATCGCTCCGCTTCTTAAATAACTGTCATTATTTTACGAAGAGTTATTTTTTGAACTACTATTATAATCTTGAACTACAAAATTTGCTAGCATAGTGATACGTTTGTCACAGTAATTTTGAAATATGGGTTTTCATCATAGTGCAAGCAATATTATTGTGATTAAATTTCTGAATGTTGGGATATGAGAATTTTTTATAATTAAAACATCTTTACTAAATAATTGGATGCGATCAAATCTGATGACAGGTCCCAGCAGTTGAAATTTTTCCGAGTATCCGTTGATTAATTACATTTGGAATGACTTGGTGAAGTAATGGTGCATGGTGTTGGAAACTTTAACTCCACACAAGGAGTATCAGTGACAGGATTGTAATTCCTCCACACAAGGAGTATCAGTGACAGGATTGTAATTCCTCCACACAAGGAGTATCAGAGATACACAAGGAGTTACCGCACAAACGCACCAGAGATGGTCGAGCCCCAGGAGCTGCCAGAGGAACCCTCGCGTAAGTCCTGAGGTCATCCTGGCTGGCGAGCGCCTCCTGATTGGCTGCAGCGAAGCGGCCAATCAGGGCGCTGTGTGGCTGCGAATTACCTGCAGAGAAATGCATTCATTCCATTATTAGCAGGATTAATATACGTGAATGTGAACAGTTCATTGCTGTTTCTTCAATGGACGGAAGTAAGTTTTAAACAATACTGAATGTTTGCAGTGCTTAAATAACGACAACTCATAACAATCATTATTATGTCGATTTAGTCTTTGAATATCATAACAAGTAATCGATATATGATTAAATTTTCTCTAAAATCTCCTGGCCTTAGAACAATTAGAAAACAATTTTTCAATGCGATGCCTCATGAACAGAAATGCAGGAAAAGTTTTTTTTTGGCAATCAAAAAGAGAAATATTGTACGATGAATTACAAATGAAAGAAAATTTTTGTTAAAAATTCTCATGTTATTTCGTGTGTTTTCGGAAACACCTAATCTCGTTAACAGAGGCTCCGAGCAGCAGCTCCCAATTACCAACTAATTTTTTTTTTTTGCTAAAAACCGGAGTGGAAAATTTACTCAGTGTTGCAGGGCAACTGTTTGGCTATGGTAGTCGAAGATACCACAGACGAAATAGTTCGGTGTTGTGGTGCAGTTGATGAGTATTTTTCATGAGTAAAATTTTCAGGAACCTTCATTGGAATAACACTGCACAAGCCGGGCCGGGCTGCAAGAAAATTTCGATAGATGATGACCGGCAGAGGTCCATGTAAAATCTCAAGAGGAAACATGAGGGTCTCGCCTAGAAATAATTTCACTTGATTTTTATTGTATTCGGGGACTGGTTTTTAAATTATCTGATACGAAATATCGTTGATGGCTGAGGGGCTTTTGAGTGAATTACTTCTCAAATGTATTGTTTAAAATGTTGAACTCTTCCCTGAATTGTGCCGCATTGCAACAATATTGTATGATAATCGACAGTCCCAATTAAGCAAATATTTTAGGCATTATATTGTAAGTAATGTGTTTATTGAAGTTACATTTTTTGTGTACTTCCACCTTATTTTATTTCAATACAGTCATTAATTGACTATCAGTCAGACTCAGTAAGAAAATGTTCCAATATAAATACAGATGCAAAGATAAACGCGAATGGGCATGCACACGGAACACGTGTATATTTCTGGTTACAAAGTTTTGGAAATAGAAAGGTGAGATCAAATTTTCGAACGCTCCATCCTTAAAAACATAAAATAATTGAGCTTCAAGTGAGTCTATTAACTGGGACAAAAAAAAAGATACTTCGAGCCTCTGCCTACTGATCGACAAGTGCTCTCGTTACCAGACGATTGGCAATAAGAAAATCTACGGTACTTATTTAAAAAAAAGATTAACAATTTCAGACACTAATGAGCTTCGGTAAATGAGCCGTTCAGTTGTCGATCAGCACACAATGGAAACGGTTTCTTTTGTATTTTAGGCTTCGAGATCTCACGAGATTTATTACCATCGCGCGAACATTAGGTATACCGTGAAAATGAGGAACTTAACTCGGCTGTATGAATAACCGTGAACCGCCGTTGAACCTTAATCTAATTCATGTAATGAAATTACGTTCCCAAAAGACATTAATTTATTATTAAACGATTGCTGATAGTTGCCTGTGTTTTAACAGATCCTTACGATCGTTGCCACAAAAGTTCATTGTACAGTCAATAGAGAGCAAGCGCTGCTTCACCATCTTATTTTAACTATTTGTCTTTGTTCAAGGATAAATTCACCGTCTTTACTGCTATTATCCTAAGGGTAAGTATCCTAAGGCCCTGTAACAAGAGTATCACCAATAGATATAAAAAATGGTTAAAATATAGCAAGGATAATACCTCAGCTGCGTCGTAAAACGCATTTTTGTGGACAACGGGAGTGAGAGCTTCTCCGGCAGCCGAGACTTATTAATATACTTTTTAAATTTGCATGGAGCAACGCAACACTGTCATATTTAGGAAACTCGTAAGCTTATAAATTCTCTTCTCTTTCATAAACGCACCATGAAATGCAACTGGTTCTCTTTCCTTCGACGTACTGGACATATTTTTCGGACACATTGCATCGAGTCAAAGATTAAACTTTCTCAGTCAAGTTATACAGACAAAGTCAACCGCAGCACTGAGCTCAGCCACTTCATTGCTATCGTAACTCCTGTTTTCCTGGAGTCTGCATTTGTAAGCGAGGTTATGCAGATGGATTTAAAGTTTGCTTTTCTGACCCCACTCTGTGTGTGTGCACAAATACATTTTGCTCGGATAATATCATCTCGACAAAAAGAGGCGATCCTTCCAAAATTTTTGTTATGCAAGCATTTTTATAACAATCAATCTTCTAAATTCGATATAGAATTCTTTCATGGAATCCTATTTCTCGTCTTTAATTGAGCTGAACATACATATTCTAAAAATGCTTTAAATAACGGTTGTGCACACTACACCATTTCAAATAAACAAATACAACAGTTAGTTACCGAAACTCTAACTGTGCACTGTGCAGTAAGGTGAGGCGCCATATAGAGACAATTCAATGCCCCTTGACCCATACATCTACTGTGCAGTAAATGCTTGCCACCTGTGAGATTGCATAGCCCAGTGCCCATACAAACAACAATACAGTGCGTGTCCTTCCAATTTGTTATATCTCAGACTTGTCCTTTCACGTGAAAAAATTTGATTTTTTTTAGCAGTGAGATTGGTCGCCACGCTAACAAAGATGGATGTTTTCAAAAGAAGGTGAAGTTCTGTGCGCGGGTGACGTTTACAGGTAATTGCTTTCAGAATTCAGCTGTACGAGCTTGGGTCTCACCGACAAATTTATTGCCAGCTCAAGGCATCCATATATAGGATTAGCTTTTGGTGTTTTTTAAAATAAATAAAAAACTCTGCCCGTTTAAAAAATTTTTAAACGGGCAGAGAAAAATAAAGAAACAAAAATACAAATGCGATCTAGCCTGTCTTCTCTATGCAATTTTTTAGATTAATAATATTTAATACTGAATTAAAAATATCACGGATGCTTGAATTTCATCTAATGCTGTCTTGATACGATTTTTTTATTCCGATCGTGATTTGTCGTAAACTAACATTGTTTAGTAATTCCTGTCCAATTGTGAGTCATGAAAATTGAACGCCCGATTAGTTCACACCGAAAAGAATGTGATAAAATTTTGATATGATGAGTATTCTCTGTATCCGATATATTCATGATATTGATTTCATGATATTTTTAATGACGAGTATTTAGTTATTGCCGACGTCCTGCTTCTGATGACATTGATGATGGATATTGCAAACATCTACCGGTAGAGACTAATATGGAAATTTTGGCAAAAGATTCAAGCCAAAGCCTGGGTGGTAAATCAAGTAAATTTTTCGGTTAATAAAAAATTTCCTAAATACTTAAAATCAAGAATAACCCACGATTATAACTGTTCTATCAAGAAAAACTAATGTTTAGTAGAAAAGTATTTGTCATATTTCAACTTAACGCTATTTGTGCTAGGGAACAAATAGTGTGCGGACTGACAGCAGCTGACAACTGAACATTAGGTGGCCCCGGAAATATCAACCAAGAATTTCATTACCTTAAGACTTCACCACCTGTGCGGTATAAACAATCTTTATGTAATTTGAATCTTTACTGTATATTTATTGAAAATAATTGACATGCCGAAGTGAATTGACTTGTTCATGTACTCAATACAGGTGAGTTTTCGCAAGTCTGGCTGTTTATCAGCTCCAGTCCTCTGACGCTTGGTAGAAGAGTTGTGGACTCCAAGAATTTTTCCCATCAGATATTTCCTTACTTACTTTTTAAGCTCACCTTGTTCTTTAGAAACGCTGCCTCTAAGGATGACAGAAATTCTTCCATCGAGCGGCCCAACATTTGCCAGGTCAGGTCCTTCTTCCTGGTGGCCATAAGCGCCACAGTCACTTGCAGTGCTGGAGTTTTTCTTTGATTTTTTCGGGTCCAACAATGATTCTTTCTTGGCTGGTTTGTTGACATCATCGAGACTGACGGAAACAACGTCCGTTCCTTTGCTGAAGTCGTGGCTGCTGCCCCCGAGCGACGCTCCGGCCTTTTTCGTCCTACGCGACTTGCACAATCTTAAGACTATCAGAATTGTGAAGAGAACTGAAAAGAAAGTGAAATTTGAGTTAGGGAATTGCACTTTCCGGCATTTTTTTCCAAGGCTTGATGTTATGAAAATCAAGTGACAAAGGGTGGCTCAGGATAAGAGTCACTATGAGAAGATAAAAGCGAAATTTGTTAGCCAGCATTTGGCACACCATTTGTGCGCCACCGGCACGCATCAGATTCAATGTTCATATGACGTGAGCGATTTTATAATAAATTTTTAAAACTATACATTTCTTTAGTTATCTATGACAATATGGGTCACTAATATTTAGTGATCAAATACCTTCTTAGAGTTTTATGCCGAGAACAAATGAGTAAAATTGATTTCAATGATGTTACTGAATTTTACTTTTATAATATAATTCCTTGAAATTTAATTTTCCAATAAATCGTATGGTAAGTAAAACGTCAAATAAATTCAATATCGAACACGTTTCGAAGACCAGCTCTATCATCAGTTGAAAAATTTTATGAAATACATGTACAATTAGTAGTAAAAATCTAAATATACCAGTTATCTATATAAATGTGATGAATTTACTTGGCCGTTTTCTTTGTTTTAAATTTTTGAAAACATTTAATTTAAGCAGACTAATGTATAAGTAATTTCATTCTTTAATTTCTTTGAACTAACACTCAATAGGCAAAAATGCAAACACAATGGTACGACTAACCTGTTAACGATGCCAATGCTATCATTCCCATTATTAGCCCAATGGGGAGTTTATCAGGAGGAATTTGTCCCACACTTCCCCACTCGCAAAACCGACCAGAGTGGGGATCCAAGCAGCGGCAGGCAGGTCCCCAATTCTCGCTGATTCCATCCTCCCAAGACTCCCTATTTTCAGGGGATTTTGTGTCTCTTCCCTGCTTGAAAATCAAAGAAAATCTCAATAAGATGTAACGGATTAGGTTTTCTCATGTGTTCCATAGGGGGGTTGAAATTCACCAAACATAGGGACTACAATTGTTACAATTCGTAAACACAAGACTTTTGAAGTGTTTTTGACTTTGACTTTAGCGGAAGCATTGTCCGGATAATTTATTGTAAAAAAATTTTGAAGTAGGAAGTGGAAGGAAAGGCGCAACATTCAAACATACGCCTTCAAAAATAAGGCAGTTGATGATTATTTAATCATTATTTGCTTTTTCTTCGTTCAAACTTGATTGAAAAATTTAGATAGTGGTCAACCACAAAACTTGCGTAGAAGAGATAATTATAAAAGAAAACTGTACTGCTTTCTATGATACGTCTTACTTCGAGAATTCGGCTAAATAAACAGTAAAAGTGGGGTCGTTTATTGAACAGAGTCTTAATGGCTTCATAACATTACAGGCCTCCTTTCAATAAAGGAATTTGTTACTTGTATATCTCTGTTCATATAACGGTAGACAATGATTTTACGATCATATTCACACGTGCTTGAAAATTAATTCTTGAGACTTGGGAAGGCAAATTCCATTCTCTGCCCAAGGCAGGTGTTATCCATAAACAGAGCCATCACTCACGATTATTGACGGACGCTCAAGTCAAATATCCGTATTTGTTAGTTGATTAAAAGCGGCCAAGACCACGCAGCTATCAGGAAAGGATACAAGGACTTGGACGCTCCATGCCCGGCGCAAGGAAATAGTGCAGACATTGCAGAGTTTTAGATTAATTTTAGGACTTTAACGAAATTGACAAGTAAAAAAATATTTGAGCCACTGGACAAATTTAAGAGCAAGTTGGACATTCTACCGTGGCAATATTAAACTTTATCGAGAATCACGATCAGCAGGTATCGGCTTTTCTGTATCATATTGATCACTTACTCTATGTGAATGAAAAATTTGTAGAATCATCCGTACCGATCTAAATAAAACTGGGTCCAGAGTTAATATTAGATTAATTCTTGCGTGGAAAGGCTAGATCAAATAAAACAATAACTTACGTGTTCAGGTATGAGATAACAGCTTCCCCCATGGAGACACGGTGACGGGTGACACACGTCTTCATCCTGACACACGTGGGACGTGAGACGTGTTCCCCTGGGACACCTACCGACGCAACATCGTCAGGCATGAATGATGAGTTTATTCAACGTATTCGTGGAAGCATCAGCGTGCGGTGAAATGCAACATTTAAGACATCCGGCGCTCTGTAATGGCAAATTCACAGGGCGATAATAACGGTAATACGAGCGAGGCCTTGTATATCAATGGCAGCAAATTCAGGCACTGCCAATTGCAGCAACGCCGGGCGTTACATCTGCCATGTTAGACCGCGATCGAAAAGTGAAGTGTTGATGTGGGGAAGGGGTGTATTGCAATGGAATCAATGTAAATGAATACATCGAATGAAGATAATAAAAATGGTGAAAATATCGTTAGAAGTCATTCCATTCGTTCCGGAATGTCGACGAAATATTTTCGAATGCATATAAGACGTTGGCATAAAAGTTAAATGCTAAACTGCTACAAATTTATGTATAAAGTGTTCATGACTAATTTCATGTGTATTTGATGACAATGATGAATGAACATTTTTCAATTTTTTAATATAATCATATAAACTTTTCAATCCATTCAACAAGAAATAAAATCTATTCCAACAACGCCCGATTTCAAATGCAAAAAACCTAAACTACATTGCACAATCGTCAGCCAATAGTGTCAGAGCTCATATATTAAGCTCTACCTGAGAATCGGGTTACGTGACTAAGGTAGTGAGGGATAAGTAAGACACATCAGTCCAGATAACGTATCTTGTATACGGGGTGGTAATACATTACGATACAGAGGTATAAGCTACGGCGTCGACGTTACGGTCTGAGAACCGACCAACACGTTACATCGCGGAGCGCAAATCAACTACTGCGGGGGGCCTTACATAAGGTTGCTAGACCTTATAAAGCCTTCGCTTCCGCCCACAACTAAGGTCTTGATCGCGTGACCTATCACGTGTCTGCCAGATGTTGACTCGTCATCAATCTCTATCAGGTAAAGTGAATATTACGTCTCAATTACATACAATATAATAATTATAATGATACGCCAGATTGCCACCGGACAATAAGCACTCACGTCTCAATTAAAGTATGATAAAAGCGGAAATGGAACCAGAGTTCACAATACTAATTCAACCGACGGAAACGGTCGTCCTTACTCGGTTTTTGCCCAAGTATTAATGATTGTCAGACATTTAGGGCATTTCTACCCTCACGACCATGGTTTTTCCATGTTCGTACTGCAATCTATATACAGTTGATCCCGGTCATAATGATATTCATTTAATTATCACAAATAGTCCCAAAAATCCATATAAAATGAACATGTTACAAATTTCCAAACGTTCATTGAAAAATTCATTAAAAATAATGCGTCAGCTGGAAATAATCACATTATTATTGAGATATCTTATCATATTGGGATGTACGAGCATGAATAAACACTTTACGAGTGTGTGAGTGAGTGGACTGACCGCGTGATGCACGCGGAATTTGATGCCTACGTGAGAAAAATATTTTAATTTCTTTACCCAAACAAACTCACGTGCACGTGTGCTCCCTCCAGATGTCGCGGCACACGAAGGGATCAAGGCACATGGCCCCAGCACACGCGTCTGGACCGCTGCAGCCACGCGAGAACTGCGCGTGTGCGGTCACCTGACCCCAGGGCGTGGCGTTCACATACGGTGGGAGCGGCATCACGTGCCCGTCGATACGCAAGTCGTCCAGACAACCTTAGCGATGAAGCAAAAGATATAAATCAATCAAAAGTGATATAAGTCAATTAAAAGACATTAGATCTAAAACGACCATTTATTGTAGTTGGCGTGTCAAAATGGTTGGGTAGAATGGTTTGTGAGACGAATGGTGAATCGCGATCAGAAGGTATCGGCTTTTCTTTACCTTGGCCGCTTTCCTTCTAATTATTGAGTTTGGCGAGCCACACGCGTTAAATATTAGAGTCCATGAGCTAAACAGACAAAAATTTCAGCCTGCATGCCAAAATGACAAAATATTGTGGCATAATATTATATATTGTAGGAAATTTAGAAAGAGGTACTGCATTGTGGCTGGCTTGTTAATCGAACGTTAGAAATTTTGAGTTCCTCGTTAAACTTGGCTGAAAATAGGTTTGAAAAATTATACAAACTAATTATCATTCGTATATGAGGTTTAGTACCTAAGCACCTTAAATCATTTTAGATTCCTCTAAAATTTTGGAATAAATAATGCAGAATGGACTTTCGAGCAGTCGCCCCCACGTTCTTCCTAGTTGAAATGCCAGGAAAAATTAAATTCTCAATGAATTTGAAATCCCCAACAATTGTAAGTTAACTGCAAAATTGTTTCGTTCGTCTGCAAAACATACTTGAATTTAATTGTTTTCTGCTGGAAAGGGAACAATCAAATGTGGATAGATAACAAAAATGAAAAGATAACCAAGAGAAAAATTCAATTGAAAATTGTTCTGATTGTACTTCATTGTGGGAACAGGCAAATGATGTGAACACAAGAGTTTAATTAATTACCAGGTGAGCAACGAAACAAAGAAGAAATCCCAATTATTTTAGACAATTGCTTGGACGCCCGCTTTAATATTTGGCACATCGTTCATTGTGATATAATTTTCATAGCAGTAGCAAAATAGTTTACTGAAAATACCACATATAATACTAATATACAAAATATATTGAAAATACCACAAATATGGCGACGAGGACTTACTGAACTTGAGATCTCCAGCAACGCTGATGAGCGAAAGTCCATCGAAGAACGGAACTCCGCCGATCGTCACTCCATCTCGCTTATCCACGTTGAGCGGCAGAGGAGGTGTATACCTTTTTTGTGTAGAATCCTCCTCAGAGAAGTCGTACTGTCTGTGGTCTTGTTCAACAAGATTATAAGGAGACGAAAAATGCGTGGACTTTACAGGTTCAAGGCGATCCAATTGCAGCGCCAAGTCTTGTCCGCGTCGACTCATTTGGACGGAATGCCAACGACCGTCGGATACTTTGCTTCTCGTCCAACAGACGTCCACAAAAAGAGGCTCCATGTTTAAGGTCGATTCAGGAGCCCTCCTTGAAAATGATCGCAGTTTTTCATTGTCCTGGAAATTGTCTCGATGGACGAATTTACCCGTTGATTGCATTTCGTAGTTCTTCCGGGCTTCGAAAGACGGTCCTTTGTTTTTGTGTCTTTCAAAACTTTGAAGCGTAGCGCATAATGAGCCTTGCCTGAGCTGTGTGAAATGCGTACAAAAGAAGGCCATCATGAGAGTTGGGGCAGCCACACAAAGGCGGTAATTACGATTTAATGCGAGGGATTAGTGAAGGGGAACTCCATTCTGGATCTCCGATTTGTGAAATTAATTGAATTACCTTGAACTCCCCTAGATGGGGGGGGCAGGATAGAAATTATTGGCTCTGAGATTTCGATCTATCAGAGGATGAAAGTATCAAGCTATCGGTTTTTATGGAAAAAAATTGGAAAAGATATTTTTTTAAGTTATGGACTTTAATTAATTCATACCTAAAATACTTGAAAAAATCATAAATGAAGGTCAAGAAACATTATAACTTTGTTATTCTGAAATATCGAATTAGTAGAATGGCGTGGCATAATTTTCATAAATAACTTAGCGCGGAATTCAAGTCAAGGTCGTTATCAAGAAATCGTGTTTGAAACAATTGCTAACTTTCTCTTGACGAAACGAGTACGTTCGGAGGGTATTCATCTGAAGGTAGCAAAACGATTTGTTTGGTTATCATTTGGAGAATCGAAATTGCTTACAAAATTGGTTGACATGCCATAACGAATTCTAATCTATTTACTTCCAACGAATGAAAGGAAATGAGGGCTAAATCGAGAATAGCAACTGGCGTTAGCAAAAATAATCTTTCTATAATTCATGTCATCATTAGCCGAGAAAATATTTTGTGGAATCGGGCAGTTAAGAATCTTTCATCTTTTTCATGATAGTGATTAGCGGGAACTATCTTCGCGAAACAATCACAAGACTACATTTATGCTATCTTAACCAAATTTCCATTGAAATATTTAGCTAAATGATAAAGAAAATGCAATCATTTTCCTGCTTGTGCATTAAAAAGATTCTCCCTCATTTCATTCAGAGTGTAGGCAACAACGTTTGCTTCCTTTTGTCTTGCAATTATTTTCTTCAAATAAAAAATTACTCTGCTCAGATGTAAAAAAAAAATCTCGATACCTGCAAGTCGGTCGCATAGTTTACCGTAAAATCCCTCTTGAGCAATGTTAGGAAAATAAGATAATAATAAAGCTAATAGCTTTAATTATTGTCTTTATTTATCTATTATCTTTATAATATATTCATTATTGAGATAATAAAGCTTCCTACTCACCTGCACGGTGAGCGTGACAGTCTCGTGTCGAGCGGCGAGTTTGACCAAAACTCCTTCCGTCTGTCGGGTCCTGATCCTGAACTGCAGCGTCACTTCGTACGGATCAGGCGAGAATGAGAGCGCGAGTTTGGCATAGCTCTTTGGTTCAAGAGTAACAGGCTCCGTGAATGCCGCGCATTGTGGTCCTTTGAAGCCCAGGGCGCATTGACATTCGGATTCACCGCGCTGCTTTATGACGCATTTTCCTCGGGGTCCGCAGTCCGCAATGCACTCCGACTCTTCAGGAGCGCAGCCGGCTCGGCTGTTGTGACTGTACGCCACTTCGCCGAGGTCCACGAACTGTTCATGTGGAAACAGAACAAATATACGAGCTGCTGGATTAGATAAAAAATATATATTTACATCCCGGCGGTAATGGATAATTCGCCAACCTTGCCTAGATCGATAGCGCAGTTACATGCAGTTGAGAGTAGTTGTTAATTGATTTGTATTATACTGATGAAAATGATTTAGTCAAAGTGATACCGAAATAACGTTGAGATAAATTATTCCGTATTGTTATCGTCTTCACATTTGTGACGGTCAAAGGAATAGAAGCGTTCTAGTAAACTATAAACGATAACAATCATCTAACTTCCTAATAATATTTTTTTATTATAATTCCAGTTTACGTAAGTTAAGTGTATATGTTCTTCATTATTTCATCACACATAAAGTTCTAACTATAAGTTATTATTTATTTATTTAAATTTATTACGAACCTTCCCGTTCACCGTGAGTCTGGAGATGCAGCCATCAAGTCCGCTGTTTATCAATTCCGGAGCTGCATCCGAGCTACGAGCCGTCCCGCCCAACTGAAGAACTCCGGAGTCAAAGTTCAGTGAAGCCAAATTTACAGGAACTGAAACTCTGCATTGGCTGGAAGGGCTGTTGCTCGTTAGACTCCATTGCTTGGAGCAGCCGTCCAGAGTGGCGTGGATCGCCTGACAAAGTTAAATGAAATTTCTTCATTAATTTTGGAAGGCGGTCTAGGCAGAGCACGTCAGTTCCAAGAATGTAATTTACACCTAATCATTGAAATGTAAAATAGGAAATACTGAACTGCAAAGGTTAAAGGGAATTAGAGGATTAGTATTGATTATGTTTGATTTTATTCCTGAGAAAACTGGTGCCTTTTTTCAAAGGGAATTATTTATTAAAGATCTTACAGTTGCATGTGGGGAACTCATGCTCGTCGCGAGCAATATATTTTGGAGGAATTTTGTCATATGCGATGGAATTCATACGTAAGAAAGGCGAATCATGATAATTTTATCAGTCAATTGTTTCCTTTGTCAACGCAGAGAAGAATAAGCTTGAAGATGAATGCCTTCACGGAGAACTCTGACTTATCGAAAATTTTAATTTTAGACACGTAAATTCCCAGCATTCAATTCTTTAAATTCGTAGATTTTCAATTCTAAGGCTTAATTTCAGGTGAATGTTGTTAGCGTTAAATGACAGCCTTGAAGAAATTACTGAACAATAAAATGGCTTCATCGCACAGACGCGATGATAAAATAAATGTGTCGTCAGCAGCAAACATATTGACTTTTGATCGTAGAGTTTTCAAAGTGAAATTAAAACTCTTATGGGCTCACATGTTTCACGCCTGCAACATAAATAAATAAACATGACTCAGCAGGGCACGGGTAAAAACTGGTATTTTCTATCATTTAGTACAAGATTATGAAATTGATGTACTTGATGAAATTAGACCATAAATATAAATTCAACGAGCCTTTGAAATATTCGGGAAAAGTCCAGACAGGCAGATGGAATTAATGAGAAATTGTTTATATCTTTTTAAAATGATTCCAGAAACAGAACCACTGCGACGGCGCAGTTAATCCGTCTTGTCCGAACTGCTCTGAATAATTGTACCTCGTTAGTGACAACGATGTCCACTGAGTGCCAGACGCTGTCGCTGATGTCGTACGTGGCGTTGATGCGATGCACTTTAGTCTTGCTCTTGTAGTCTCCTATCACTACTTCGAGTTTACCGTCATTGAGTTGCACCGCCAGAAAAGATCGTTGCATTTTCCCTGACTCAGCTGAAGAGATTCTTCTCCTTGTCCTTTTAATTGAGAAATCTGGGCCACTTGACGGGTGAGAATGAGTGCCTTTCACAGGCACATTATGCACGTATTTACTGCCCCATAAGCTCTGTGTGTTGGACGTAAGTGGGCCTGAGTAGAGCAGAATTCCTTGAGGACTTTTGGTGAGCACATGGAAGGATACGTGAGTAGGAGAGCACAAGGGCAGAGGGTTTACCCATGCCCAGCCCGACCCAGAGAACGTGCGAGACGTGATGCTGCACGCTGGGCCCTCCGTGTAACTTGGACATATGCACCTAAAAATCATAAAATGATTTATATTAGTATTTCTCTGGGCATTTTCTAGAATTAACAGTAAATAAATAAAGTTAAAAGAAAAATGTAGTCATTTACTAAGCCTGATATTTTTCTCAATTCAGAGATAGTGGACGAAACGTTTTTCAAGCTCAGCCGCATGAAAAAATTAACGCAAGTGAAATTATTTGTAGAGGGTAAAATTTGATGACGAAAAAACCCGAAATTTGATACTTTCAATTGCTTCCAAATTCAACTAATTTCAATGCCAGTTTTTTAATAGTGTCTTCATTTTTTAAATAAGACACTATTTATTTGTGAATCTGTATTACAGCATTATAAATCATTGATTGCTTGAACGGTGAATTAAAGATTCAATGAATAATTGATATAAAAAATGCACACATAGACAAAAAACACCTTGAATTGTGGTGGCGAGGCGCACATTTACCACCGTTGCGACACTCCTCGTCTTGACACGCCACAGACGACTGAGACGAGGACAGCAAAACTTCGTCCAGTAAAGCGGACGTCGGTTTATTTAGTGACGTGCAGTGCTGGGGACGCGACAGACGAGGCGTCACCAGGGACGTGCGGTTGTTGTCGACCACCTGACGTGTGAGACGAGAGGAACCAATGGAATAAATGTAAGAATTGAGGCGCCAACCTTAGAAAAGTAATGATTAGATTTCATATAATGGGTACTACTTGACAACCCTTATTGTGAGATGGCTCATAACCATTTCCTTATCCGCCTCTAAAAGGTTTGCGTAAATAGTTCTGAACTTATACAGAGTATCGTTATCAATTTATACGCATTATTCGATAATCATTAAATTGCACGCTTAACTAAGACACACTATGAATATATCTCCTATCTATAGGAGAAACTTCAGCAGGCCTACACCAGAAAAGTAGCAATAAATAAACAACGTATTTAGTTGATACGCTACATCAGCCACATTACGTTGAAAACTCTTGCACAGAATATAATTTTTGCTGAAGGAGAGAAAATAAATTAATTTAAGCTTGAATTCTTGACATGGCTCCCAATTTTAATGAATGCCCTAAATTTTGTCTCATTAACGTTTAAAAAAAAGGGTTCGGCAGGTAAGAAATTAACGACGGGAGCTAATTTTCAATGCGAGGATCTTCGTACATAAAAATTTGAATAAAATAAGACGATTCTGACTGAAATATAACGTGGTGTTAAAGCTCAACATTCCGCATCACTTCCGAGCTGACGTTAACTAACAGAGTTTACCTGGGCGAGCTTGAATACTAGCGTTTGTATGTTCGCGGAGCAATATGCCGCTGCCGAACTTCTAATAATTTGCTATGAGTTGATTGTTTACCGTGCTAGTTCTTATACTATGTATTTTTATTGATCCACAGAAATCGGTCAATAAGCATCACTACAGCGCGGGTTCTTTTAAAGTCATGGACTAAGGAATCTCTAAAGGGATTCTTTACATATTGCCATGCATGCAGTACTTTCGTTGAAACGTTTCACGTAACCTTCAATAGTTTAATTACGATATAATTATGCCTTCTAAAACTTTGATTGTGTGAACTCTCTCTGATTTCAGCCAATGAGACACTCTATCAATCACCGCGCATTGCTATCCAACAAGGCTATTCAACCGTAAATATATTTTTGTCCGAGGCTCGCGCAAAAATGCATGCTGCTTGAGTTTCCAACTTACGAAATCATAGAGAAAAGGTTAGTTAAAAGAGAATTTTATGTTGAGGATATATCGTATTAAGTTCGGCTTCACCATTTTCATATCCACTTTGTGCAACACTTTTCTAAAGCACATGCAAAGCAGATTGAAATTTGATATTATTGAATGCATAATTAATGCAGAATAATGACGATAAATGTAAGACGGCAGATTTTTTATACATGTTCGACTAGAACCTGACAACGCCAGCGGAGAACACTGTTCTGTTCGACTCATTGAGAAAAAAACGAACAAGAAAATTGTTGAGAAATGCATTTTCCGCCTTCAATGGAACTTTGTAGTTAATATGTAAATGATTTTCGAATTGTAGCGTCAACTTTAATCTATTTCGCGTTAAAATTTCATAAAGAAAGTGATATTGAGCTTACAAATTATATATCGTAGTTTCAGAACATCTCGATAATTGTGACACTAAAGTAAGAATTCATTCTGGAACGCGTTTTCTATTGTACGGTTATATTGTTTTTATGCTCACTTTTATACTAGCGCAATCCGTAGCGGAGCGTCTTTAGTCTACGGAAGCTGAAATTTCTCCTCCTTATGCAAAATAAAGAAAATAAATACCTTTGCTTTTAGTTTGGAGGGAAATGAATTGGGAGGTGAATGGATGTGCTGCACAGAAAGTAATTCTTCCGCCGATGATCATAGCGCTGCAACCTTGATGTGTTTAATGACAGATTCCTTTCACAATCAAGAAATTATTTATAACTACCACACAGAGAGCGGAAACCAATTCCTAAGCTATATTTAACCATAAAATTATACAAATGATTACAAAACTTTTAGTGAAAAAGGCATTTTTTCAATCAATTATTGAATATTAATGACGGTTGCTGTAGTGGGAAACTACTACATTTAAACAGTTTGAGGTCTCTGCCAGCGGGCCCTACGGTTCGTGGAAGGTTGAAACTACCATTAAGATGTTCAGGCAAATTTTTACTCAAGATATCCGCAGAAGTTACTTGAAAACGCAAAATACAATAACACTTGAAAGGTTCAGATGACGAAAATCGTTATGGACACAGCAATGGATATGAAGAAGTGGCTCCCTACTAGCGACATCCGACGACAGTTCGGCTAGCACATTTTTCTCGGCAATCATCTGTCGAGTAGTGCGGCGGCTTCAAATCTAGTACACAAAGCGGGACCAATATCTCGCCCGCTACATTGCTGCCTATTACGATTGATTCTAGGATATTGGACGGGTTCCTATAATGATTTTATTTCAAATTTTGGAAACAAAATTTTATTGGTTGAGGCCACTGAAACCTATTACGTGCAACATTTCGAATAAAACCTCATTTTTTATGAGGTTTCAGATAAATGAACTGCCAAGTCTTCATTTTAGTGGAAATTGAGAATTCATTGTTGACAAATTAGTACTTTCCAAATTTAGAACCAAACCTGTACAGGCATTCCAACTAATTGAATGATTTGCAGATCCTCCGTAACAAAACATCATGAAATATAGTTGACTTTCGGCATAATTTATAATTTTTCATTTAAAAAGTTTTATAAAACCAAAATTAAGTTTAGAAATTTGATTAATAATTCAACTTTTCTTTCTTTTTATGTATTATTTAAGCTAATGAAACACTAATTGGAGCAGAAAAATCAACCCAAAACCGGATGAACCAAGCAGAGACGAAAAAACTCTTCAATCGGAGCTCACCATTTAGTTCACACACATGATGCATAACCTTTTCACGTTCAATTTAATTGCAAGTTGGGTGGTTAATATGGGAAAAATCACTGTAATTCACGATAAACTTAAGATATATACGTTTTTTATTTACGAGAATGATTTCACCGCATTAGAGCTTCCCACGGCAATACCTGCAGAGTGATGGGCGTCGGGACTCTGGATGTTGCAGAAGCAGGATCGCTCGCCCTCAGGAAGCTCGCGTAGTGCTCCGATGTGGATCCATCGAAGGCGGTGGAAGGAATGGCTTTCAACTTCCTTTCAACTTCAGATGAACTCGAGGCAGAATCTTCAAGGAACGTCGCTGTCCTCGTGTCCGACTCAAGTTTGTTATCGGACACGATAATTGTGAGGTTCATGACGTTCTGCAGCTGCAATAACCAGAAGTGAAAATGGATTATGCAAAAGAAACCTTCAATCGTCTTAAGATTTATATCGTGCTAAAGCAGAAATATATAAAATAATAAGGTTAGGGGATGAAGCCAATATTTGTTATTAGGCTCACTTAAGTAAGCCTCTATTCGAAAAAACTGAGCTCATCGAACCGCATGAAGCGCAGGTCCTCGAGTTTGGTTCATGATATAAAGCCATCAGGGAGTCCGTCACTTTAAAATTTTTTTTGCATGAGTTTTTCTTTGCAAATTAATTATTTAATTTTTCGTAACTGCATGCGGAACAATATAATAAGGCCAAGCTTTTAGTTCTTCAAAAGATATTTTTAAAAACAATGAAACTACCCTCGTTCCAGCTTTTTGGTACTCCGTGTCAAAAACTCTATGGATTTTGGCTCGAATATTTAGATAGCTTACTTGACCTTACGTTAAATTAGGTTTCCCCAGAATGAATAGAAAAAAACATTAGTATCTATAATATTTCCTTGATTTCATTCTATCAGAAAATTATTTGCCCATTTATTGAGCTATGATGGAATGCCTCTTTAAAGCCAAACAAAATGTTAACTAGAAATTCAGCAAATCTAATCTTAACTTATCTCATACCGATTTCAAATAAAAAATTTAAATTCCATAAAAATACATAATCAAGCTAGCATGATAAAGTAAAAAAAGATGTTGTTTAGATCAGGTAAAATCATACCTCTTGTAATTGTAACTCAAGAAGCCCATGCAGCTTGACGGAGTTCATGAAATTCCCCGGGCCTGTTCTGACAGCGAGCCACACGGAGGCGGACGGCTCAGTATCGTCTAAATGCTCCGCTGTACCATAAATTTTCTGTGTAGCGTCTTTATGTGCACCATTCGACTGAATCCTGCTCATTATTTTGTGGTTGTTGAGCTCAGCATGTACATTATTTTTTGTCTTTGAATTGCCGTTGTGCTTTATCTCTAGTAAATTTGCAATATCCATCGCCGAAGGAACAAGTTGGTCTTCATCGTTTTCCGAGTTACCGGATACGCTCACAATTTCCACATCACGCGGGGATATTTGAATAGCCTTGCCCACTGCATCTGTTAGGCGTCCTAGTAGCCCGCCACCTTCCTGAAGAAGGAGGGATTTTTTATATTACTAGTCAGATTTATATTTCACTGAATATTTGAATTTATCGGAAATTCAGTCACATCGTATAAGCTCCACAAATATTTAGCAATTTTCTCCCAACGTACACAGCGTATAAAATAAAATATTACTGTTATTTAGGTACGACCACAAGTTAAATTCACGTCAATGAATATCATCAGTAATCAACAAACTTTCTGGAATCTGCCATTGATGCCATATATTCTAGCAAAAAACGGGAGTTTCTTAATCAATCAATGCCAGCATGGAACTTAATCAACCTTGCGTAATTGAGAGCTCTTTTGGTGATCACTTACAGTTACTTTATTATTCAAAGCCAGCATTGCTGCGGTGATGTGTCAGCGTTCATCATGTTCTATATAAATCTCCGTACTTTGATTCGCGTTAATTTCACTTCGATCAAAAATTCACTCACGAAGGGAGTCGCCCCTCACGCGCCAATATAATCACTTTTTCAGAGCTACCACTCATTGTTTTACGACTTTACGATCCATGATATAGAAGCCAAAATGTGAATTAGAAACTAATATTCATGTCCTTGCATGCCTGACGATAAAGAAGTTTGATGATACCACGGATTTTAAATATTGTTTATTAATGAATAGATTATATAACTGTAATCATACAACAATATCCAGTAACCAGAATAACTCACGGTGGGATGCCAGCCGGCAGTGAGGGCAGTGGCAGTGAGGGGAGTGAGGGTAAGAGGCACAGCAGATGTGAGGGCTGTAGGCTCCAGCACCTGTACCATCACAGTCACGTTCGCTGCCACATCGCGCTGGTTCCACACGCGGTCCGACACCACGGTCTCCAGGTCGTATCTTTACGGCAGACAAGGTTTGTTTAATTATTAATAAGAGGCAGCATAAGTTTACTCCTTCCTTATTAATAAGACGCAAAATATAATGTTTGTTTCTTTACTAATAGGACGCCGGAAATAACGTTTGTTTCCCTACTATTAAGATAACTAAGACTGCACTCAGTACGTTTTATGGTTATTGACATGTCCTAAAAGTAGTTTACGTAAATCGAAGATAGCTTTGTCGAAAAGTTGTTCTTTAAAATGTAACGAAATTTAACTTATCTAATGGAAATATTACTGTCGTTTTTCATGTAGCACAACATTAGCACCCATTGTACCTAATTGTATTACCTAATTTTAATTTAAATGACTGGCAAGTTTCATACACTGTGGAACTTGTTAAGAACGGAACTTGTTAAGAAGCACATCATTTAATCGTAATTAATGGTCTTTCATTCATAAACTAGATGCTTTGAAAGAAAGCCAAATTTTTTTGGAAGCAAGTCGAATTTTTTTCTTCGTGGGAGTTCATAAAATCAGTAGTATGTTCCTCAAATTATCTCTCTTTTCCACAGCCTTCACCCGCCATTCCCCTGACCCCACCTTCCCTCGCGGATGTGACCAGAAGAGTAGAGCTGTCCCGTGTGAGGGTCGAGCTGGAAGAGAGGGTGAGGGGCGGCCTTCCAGGAGAACGTCTTGTCGCTCACGTCCCAGTCGTCTGGATCTTCCACGTACACGCGTCCAAGGCTAGCCTTCGCCTGCCCGCTCTAGAAAAAAAAATGTTTCTGTCTGGTGAACAGATGATGGATATTAAACAGGTATGGACTTTATTTGAATTGAAGCGTTAAATTGGGTAAACAAATAGTATACAATAGCCGAGAGCCTAAAAAATGACCTATCGATTTCAATGAGATCCTACAGTAGTGTTAATGTTGTATGCGCGAAAAATTTATGCAGAGTCTGATCAAGGCCCAATTAAATTAACTGTCTGCTTAAACAGTTTCTTGTTTCATATTGTTATTTTTGAGGGTACACTTTTTGTCTTTCCCTTTTCCGTGTCTCGCGTGTTGGGCTGCCGTGTTGCTCGGTGTGTTTCGTTTTTTGATTGTGTTTCTTCTCGTGGTTTTTTGGCTGGGGTGCATGTCGTTTTGACTTTATTTTCGCGCGAATGTTTGCGTGTATATTATCTTCTTCATGATCTGTATGATTTTGTGCCTGTTTTTTTCCCTATTTTTTTCGTTATCAGTTTTTTGATAAAGTTTTTAATTTTTCGATTGGATTTGCCATTTTTTGTGACATTTTTTTTGGTAGTTTGTTGTTTTTTGTTGGCTGTTGTTTCTAACTTGTTTCGTGATTCCTGGGCGTGATGCGTTTTGTAATTTTTCCAGATTTTTTTTTTTTTTTATTTGACCTTATTATCTTATTTTATTTCTTCACTTTTTTTTTTCTTTTCTTTGGTCTTTTCGTTTTTATTTTATCTTATTTTCTGTTCTGTAATGTTTTCTTTTGGGCTGTGGTCTGTTCTTTTATTTCATTGTGAGCTCAGCTAGGCTGGGGCGGTGGGTTCGATTTTATTTTTTTGGTGAGTGCAGCGCGCCTCGTTTTGTTATCTATCATTTATCTTCGCGTGAGGTCACAAATACTCATTCTCCATAAAGTTGTTTTTTTACCGTGAATTAAATCACTCAAATAGAATGATGTAATTCACGACATTCGTTTTAAATGTAAATAAATTCTATTGAGTACACATGTTCTTATGAATTTTTAATTATAATCTTATTATACATTTGATTCCTGAATAAATCGAAACAAAAATTTGCATTGAAATTCAATTAAACCTAATTGAATCAATTATATCTATGAAGAACGCTTATAGATCATGGGGGAGGCCCTCAAAATAGCGCAGCTTTTTAAATGTTCCAAGACCTTTCAAGAAATTAAAACAGTTCTCAATCCTTCATCGCGATGTCGCAGTCTTTGCAAAATATCATCCCACACACTCATCTTATATTGAAGATATATATCTCAAAATTAATTCTTTTCGCAATGGAAATGAATGGACTACCAAAGTGAAGAGTAATAGTTTCACTCATGAAATTTTTCCCATAAATATAATATCAACACCTGACCCTGAAGACAAACTACGACCAAATTTAATTTCCATTTGTGCAAATCAAGGTTCATAAAAAGGATGATGATTGAGAAAAAGGCTCAAATTTCTGCCTTCCCTATCATTATTTCGTAGTGAAACTCAAAACTACCAATCTTGGTTATGCATCTCATGAATAAGTAGTTCTTACTGAAGACCAAAAAATTGAATATTCACCACCAATCCCATCAAAAAATAACGCTGAAGACTAACATCTTCAATATTCGCCGGCCATCCTATAAACATCACATGCTCAAGACAAAAAAAAAATTCTCCTCCCAAACTTTATGAGCAGGAAAAATCATCGAGTTTCCATGAGGTTAAAAGTTCGCCTTTCGTGAAGCATATCGAATCGAGCTCGGTAATAAATGAAGAAACTTCCGAGTCTCCTTACTGCATTACTCCCAGGTTGTTGTTTCGAGAAGTTTGCAGGTGGCCCGCCATAAATCTTCCTAAGGGCTCTGAGCCGTAATATTTCATGAATAAACAACAGTCTCAGAGACTTGGCGTCCGTTTCTTTATTTATTATTTTCTTTTGAGGGAGAAATATTCGTGTACAAATAATTTCTGCAAGGGAACCTGCAGCCCTGAAGGCTTTCAGTTAGCAAACGATTTGGTTTCTCTAAAGTGTGTTTATATTCGTTTTTATGAGTTTTAAAGTGTACCACCTTAAAAATACGGATTTTAAACTGACTGGATGACTTATTTTCCTGTCAGAAAAATAGTATGTTTAACCGTGCTATGCTCCTGTCGGAGCATAGCACGTTGTGCTATGCTCCGGATAGTGTTTTAATGAGAGTAAAAACGTAAGAAGGCTTAGCATTTCTTTTATTTTGTAGCCGCCAAAATAAAAATAAAATAAAATTTAGACTTCATTTCTTTGTATCTGGCAGCGAGAACAGCTGTCATCACAAGAACTAAGGGTCGAGTTTATTTCAATGCATCCGTGTTTTCATCTCAACAAGTTTACGAACTCTTGTGTAAATGGTGTAGTCTTAACAGGACACACTTTCGTGAAATTTGTGTATGGTAAATATCTATTATGCTTCTCGAATTTAGAGCTGTGGTCGCATTAAATATTTTTTAATGCGTATCTTTTACCAGTGGTTTCGTTCCGTTTGTTCTCAATTTAGGCAGCTAATTTCTCAAGAGGTTCACTAAATTTCTATAAAGCATCGTGTGCGATACATATCCTTAATAACTTTAAATTATTCTTTTTTATTTTATTACAGTTCGCTTGTCTCGCTACTTCAAGTTCACTATTTTAACCCGGTTAACTAAAATAAAATATCTCGGAGACTACACCGCTCGCCAGAATCTAGACCTACAGGACAAAGATCCATACCTCGATAAGTCTTCACGTCCAACAAATGATTCCGCGTCACAAGTTGCGAGAACGAGACTTCTTGAACTTGTTCTCATACCACGAATTACTTGGAATTGCTTTGGGAAGAAACCTTAAATTAAAGCAAGTCAAGCCGCTGAATAATGACCCCGCTCGAAGTTTCCAACACAGTTTCGGATCAAATTAGAAGGGGTTCAAACAATTCGACATCATTAGATTTTTATGGGAACCGGCCGCAACCATGCTAACCTCAAATTAGATTTGAAAATTTTCGAACATTTATTATAAACGTTAAATTATTTTTCGGGCGTGTTCAATTAAATCACCGATTAAATACAGCAAAAAGCTTGCTCATACTTTCAACAAAGATTCTTTTAAATAACTAATATGGATTAACGTTTTCAAATGTCAATTAAATATTAATTTTGAAGTATAACTGATGTGTATCTCTTGATTTCATTACAAATATCAAATGGAGTTAGCTGCTAATTGCAGAGCTAGAAAATACGAATGGAATACGAGACAAACCTGAAGCCCGCACTCCCGTTGCATCGTAATGCTTGATTTACGCTTCCGTCTCGCCGCTGCATGTGGCATGCAGACGACGGCTGCAAATTAAGGGCGAGATCAAGAGGAATTAAGTCCAAATTGGCCCACCGCCTTAAACAGTCGCCAAACACACGACCAGGAACTTGGTACTCAGCTGGTTTGTCAGTTAACCGCCAAATTAATGACTTGATTCCATAATCAGATCGTTATTAAGTACTCAATACTTCAGTAATGTTTATGGTCAAAATAATTGTGCGCAGTAAATCTGAGTAAATACGTCAATTAAGCATCGTTAGGGGCCCAAGAAAAGCTAGACATCATCAGCAATTTTATATAGTTACGGAAGAAATGCTACAATCATTGCTCATTGCTTATCTGTTTGCCGAACATGAATGCGAATGTTCTTTTCTTTGTATTCGTGTGAAATAATCAACATTTTCTTAAATTTTCTTTCATTAAGAGTTGGTATGATGGTATCTATCATAGGCAATACCCATTGGCTGTAAACTCAAAATATGTCAGTTCACCCACTTGATCGACAGACATCTATTTATTTATCGATGAATTGTGTTTACATAACTAATACTCCTGTGGATTAAGGGGAGCGTCTACCCTAAAATTGAAAAATTTTACTTTTTTGGTTTTCATACTAATTTTAAAGCTGACATTCTGCCCTATCCAACGGTACCACTGCCATCTCTCTATGTTGATTTATGATTTCACGACATTTCATGAAAGGGGGGCGGGCGGGGGAGTTCTTTAAGAGATAGGAACTAATTAGCTGGTGAGCTCTTTGTATATAGTGTCTACTTGAGTTGTGCTGCAGTTACGTGTTTAGTCTCATCTTAGAGCTGACATTCTGGCCTATCCAATGGTACTACTACCATCTATGTACGTCGATTTTTACGTACACGACACTTCATGAAAGGGGGGCGGGGGGGTACTTATTGTCACGGAAAACCTATCTCCTCCTAGAGTTTCAAAGCTACAACAATGACACATATACCATTCGATTCGCAAAGAATAGATCTACAAAACGACCTAGCCGTTTTTTCAATTTCGTCATAGTTTGGATTTTATTCCTGAAAAAGAGGGGGTGGAAAGGGGTAAAATCGAAAAATTTCCGAAAACTTTACGAAAAATGCTCCCACACCCACAAAAATTAGAAATTAAAAAAACGGCTAGGTCGTTTTATAGATAAAGATTTTACGCATCGAATGATATGTGTCTCGATGTCGTAGCTTGGAAATCCTAGGAGGAGATAGATTTCAAAAGTACCCCCTTTTTTGACCGTTTTCTATGAATTTCACGTTTTCTTTCATTTTTTTCGAAAAATTTACTAGAACAAAATGTGAGTTTTTTCCATTTTACATATGTGTACCAAGTTTCAGAGTGATCCGTTTGTAAATAGCCGAGATAATTTTTGGGGTAGACGCTCCCCTTAAATTAGAGATTACATCAAAAATTACACCATTGCTGCTCCAGAGATATCTTGATAAGAGTCTCCCATGCATCACAAAACATGATACAGCAAAACTTGAACAAATTCAATATTTAGGAGCACAATGAACTGTCACTTTCTGGAGTAAGCATGATAGGATTTTCGTGGTCACAGGGATACATCAACATACATATTCAAGAGCATCAACATAATCAAGTTAAAAGATTAATACAAAATAAACAGACCGAATACTAAACACTTGTGATCCACCTCCGAGGTGGATCACAAGGCAATGACAGGATAATAGGCCTAAACGAGGTGACGTTATTCAGAGGTGACTGAATCGAAACTAGAATTACCTTACTTGTAATACAACCAAACATTGCACAAAGTTCTCTAACAGGATTATTAAACTAAAGAATATAAATCATTCAATACAATAATCGTTTAGTAAGCTTTGTTTGCTCCTACATCATTGCTCCAGAGATAGATAAATAGTTTGCAGCACCCTGAACTTTCACTTGGTGGAATAGGCCTGTAGTCGCCGTTTCAGTATTTTTGATTTTCCATGTTCACTGAAATTTGCAGCAAGAGAATTGACCTACAAGACGCAGTTCACTTCATATGTGCCCCAGCATTCAGTGTTGGACCTAAAGACGGATGCCTGCTGTACCCGAGGAACCGAGCTATTCGGTTCATTCGATTTATTGTTTAATTATTTGGATTGTTAATTCTGTTTCATGTATATATATCGTCCCATTTTCCTTATATATTTTTCTTGTATATTTTCCTGTTATCTGCTTTCTAGAAACCATACGGCGTGGACCACTTGTTTTTATCGTGCCTTGGCGGCGCATCATAGAATAGCGGTCACAGTTCCCAAAGCACTAGACTACGAGAAAGTCTTTTAGCATTTTAACATTATAAGCTATTTTATTTTTATTTAGTAATGAATTTTTATAATAATGAATAGAAATCCTGTAATGCAATAATGGCTAAATAACCGTTATTCACACTCACAACAGTGCTCCAGAGATAGACAGTTTTGCTGCCAGGCTTCATGGGATGGTCGTTGGTGTCGTCCACTACGAGCAGCACGAGACTCTCAGCCGCCAGTCCCCTGGCGTCAGCGACGCGCACGCGGATCACGAGCTCGCGCCACACCTCGCGGTCCAGCGGCCGCTGGGTCAGCAGCGTCGCGCCGCCGCGCCCGCTGTCCAGCACTGTGGCGTGCGCGTGGACAAGGGAGAGAGATAGGATAAACGAGAGAGATAAATGGAGAGATGGGACATGCATACCAGTCAATAATAGGAAAAATACTGTTGAATAATAAATGCATGACAATGAAGTTAAATGAGTGTTAGATTAGACGATGTTTGTATTTCTGGAAATTTTAATATTGGTTGATGTGTGATCGAATTTGATACAAAATTCAATCTACATAGTAAATGTGTCTAATGATGTAATTGATGACCACACGATGTGAGTAATTTAGCAGAAAAAATGTATGCGTCACATAATGTAGATATATATTTATATCCTTCATAATAACCAACTGTCTGCTTTAGGAATGTTGCATGTCTTTTTCGTAGAAGGATAGCTTTTCAAATAGGTTGAATGTCTTTTTGTTAAAAGAAACTAAACAAAACATTTATTATCGATCGAATTCAAACTTTTCTAGTGGTATAATTTTACATTTGAATGAATTTAAAATTCAAGAAACAATTGAAAACTGTGTTTTTCTTTGCGCCGTAAAAGTCGAAAATGATAGCCTGTTCACTCGCTTCACATTCACTCGCTTCACATTCACTCGCTTCACATTCACTCGCATTGTACAAAAAATTTAACCTTCATCAACATTTATATGGAACTGCAGTGAATAATTTCAGTTCAGTTAAAACGCTATTTCCAACACGTCATTTTTCTGTGAATGTCCAACATAACTTATTTGGTGGCTAGAATTGAAGAACATTTGCACGTAAAAGAAATAAAATATGAAGGAATATAAAACTGCCAGCGGGGACAAGATCAGAACTCGTGCGCCTGCACGCGAAATGGCGATCAGGAGCTCCGTGAGTGATTTGGAACTCACAAGACCATACATAATACAAATGGTATATAATGAATATTTGTTCAGCGTAATATCTACAATAACAGAAGGATAACCAATGTGACTTTCGCTGCTAATCTATATATGTTCAAAAGGAACTGTAATAAAACATCAAGCGCGGACGTTGAAAAAACCTTACATGGATCCATCTCCAGTGCGATAAGTTCTTTAATGTGCGGTGGATTAGACTCCGCCAGGGAGAACTTGAAGGGCGGACCGTTGCCTTGCGCCCACACGTCTCGGTCCGTCGCCGTCAGCACACCCACGGGCCCCGGGTCGGTGGCCTCTAGCACGTGCAGCTTGCGAGGCTGGTTCAGCTCAGGCGGACAATCGTTGACGTCTGCGAGGCTCAGGCTCATCGTGGCCGTCGATGAAAGAGCCGGAGTGCCGGAGTCAACCGCCACGATTTGCACGACTGCGATACCGCGATCAAGGCTCTCGCGGTCCAAAGACCTTACGACCTTCACGGCTCCCGCTGACGAGACGGACAAGTCTTGCGCGTAGCGCCCGGTGACGTGGTATGAAACTGACTGGGAACCACCCTGACAAATAGATATAAATATTTTAGATTAGTGAGAAGTTCGTACAACAATGTTGGATTGCGTCGATCCAAAAAGAATTTGCGGGAGTAAAGGTAATCATGTGGTAGTGCTTTAGTGAATTAATGCGAAACGTAAATCATTCTCAGTAAGATATACAAAACCGGTTGTGGTCGTTGATTTCGCATTACAACGAAAACTGTCATAAAAAATATACTGTAATGACAATCAAATTTTGGGATTAAAATCACGTGATAAATTTTGAATTTGGCATTCAAGGATATACCTCAGTGTCAACTTCTGTTAAATAGTGAATTTCTACATGCTTTGATGATCGTAACGAAATGCAGGAATTATGAATATGCTGACAACTTTTTGGAAATTTTAGAATAATATCAACAATATGAATGAGTGATGATGGGTGGACTTCTCAGAACATATTATCATTTACATCAGCCGAAAAAAAATCGTAAAATAAATTAAGAAAAAATTCCTGCCGCTGCCACTGCCAATTTGATTTGGAGCACTCAGGAGGATGTGAAATCTGATCGAATAACAAGTTTTCGCAAAAAAAAAAAAAACGAAAAAAAAATCACACAGAAGTTTGAAAGATGATCACAGAATTGAAAGTTTACTTGGTCGGGATCAACGGCTGTCATGGTCGCCAGGATCGTGCCAGGTTTAACGTCCTCGTCTACGACGACGTGAGCAAAACGTCGTTTGAACTTGGGTGCGTTATCGTTGACGTCGCTGAGTTTAATTTCAACCCACGCCTGGTCTGTGTGTCTGGGATCGTCCCAACCTCCTCGACCCTGAAATTATGGCAATAAAAAGTAATTTATAAATTTTGATTTTCAGAAAAGTGCAGGTCAAATTTTGAACGAACAGTTATAAAAATTAAAACAGTCGTATTATGAATTTATAAAATTTGTATAGTCAATTAAAAAATTTGACTATTACTTGGAATTTCTAACTTCGTAAAAATTATTCCATGATTACATTTTTTATAATTCTAATATTTTTATTTTTCTGAATTTTATGTTCAAAGCCTATTATAGGAGAAAATTGCTTTCATATATTATCGAATTATAATGACTGTAAACTTTATCATTCGCGTCATAACTTATTTGACAAAGTATATATTTATAATCGACAGATCACAAATATGTGATCGACTTAATTTGACAGTCTATCAAATTAAGTCGGCATTGCCCGGGGACACAAAAATTTTAAAATTGTTTTAATTTAATTGAAAACTAATGAAAAATTGTCAAATATTATAACACTTATCACTTTGAAATTTCACGAGTGGAATTTCTCGTTGAACCTCCTTCATTATTGCCTCAATGAGCATATTTTTTTAATGCTCACATTATTAAAAAAAATTAAATCAAACAAATATCAATGGATTTGTATTGTCTTAATAACAATTTTTTGTCAATTTTATACCAAAATGCCTATAAATCGGTATATTCACAAAAGTCAAAGCAAAAAGCCTCTAAATTTCAGCTATAAGTACTAAGCCGATGTAAAATACGAGTTCGTTGATAATAATTTCCAATAAATCATCGTTCGCAATCGATCCAAGTGTTCATGTAGTAAGTTCACCGTCCAAAAATAAACTAATCTCTGATCGTTGCTCAGCTCGGCTGCAACTATTTGCAATAATCAATCATGAGCACAAACTTGGTTCATCATCAGAAAAGTTAGCGACCTTATACCTACAACAATATGTTCTGATATAATGAATTCAGATTTCTTATACAAGTGGCAACGTTTAGATAAATTGCATTTTTTAAGTAGGCAACAACCTAGCGGTCATCTATTAAATTTCGTTTATTTATGGAATTACTACAGAGCAAATGATGCCTACCATTTGCAAGACCATTAAGAACATGAATGTATTTTACACTCTTAACTTATTTTCAAACTTCTCAATGATGAAATGAAAGGCCAGACTTTATTGCAAAATTATCCCTGCCCAAATGACAGAAAGTAACCGAACCAAAAATTATACCAAGCACCGGTCATTTCCCATTGATCTGCACAGCGTCGGTAGCTATATGCCCTGATTGCTTCCTAATAATGTTTTAAATAAATGATAGGCATTAATATCCCATCAAGAAAGATAAATTTCAGCTGCCAGAAGCATTAGTATTACTTGAATCAACTTGAGGCAAGGCTTGAACCTATTCATGAACATTAGAAAGTTTTAAATCACGCCGATTCATTTTATAACGCGCGAACTATGCATAAAGCCCTTAATTGTCACCTAAATAGTGAGATTATTTAATTTCAATGTTCATAAACGTATCCGTTTTATAGGGTTTGGATAGATACTGCATTATAACAACACTTTACTTTGACTCCAATAATTTGAAGTCAAGTCTAATTAAAAAAATTGTATTACAAAGGAAATTTCATTATCTTAATAACTTTTGCCAACGAAAACACGATAAAATTAATATTAAACATAACGTTGAACCTGCAAATATGAACATGACGTTGAACATGCAAATATGAACACATTCAAGTGCACAAAAATTAAAATTAAGTACGTATAAGTGTCATTTTCTTGATTTAGATATAAATCGTTGCTAACATTAAAAGACTTAAGCCTAATCGATATTGTCTTAACAACGCTCAGCACCATTACAAGATTCGTCAATTGCACACAACAATTTTTAGGAATCGCGAGTAATTTTCTGCGGTTTTTGCCAATAATAGAGCCCACGTTGGTAAAGTTTTCTAATCACATTATGGATGGACCGGAAAAATCAGCAAAAAAATGCAGAATAACTGGGCTCAAAGAATTTTGTCTTGCTAAAAAATTTCATGAGTTTATTTTGTTTCGCCTATAACAAAACACTAATCTTGCTAGGTTTTACGCAATATTAATAGTATTTTAAATTGATAAATACAGTAGGACGCCTCTCCGAGATTTCAACCTATAGAGAAAAAGTTAATGAATGTCGTTAAACAACAAATTCGAATTTGCTGGAGGCCTAATATTGAGACTCCTGACCAACGTCAAAATAGGAGCAGAATAGTTCTTGAAGAAAGTAAAATGGGAAGTAAGGTGATGCTAACATTCGTACGTTGCAATAACAAAACCGACTAATACAATTGGAATATTAGGGCAATTTTTCGGGAATTCAGATGTAATCTCCTAAAACGTTCATTCATTATATGAATAATCTTTTCGGTCACATGCGAATTTGTTTCAGTAATAGAAATACTCTACACACTCCAAATGATTGGTAACACTATTTTGTAATTTAATCAAATACACTCCACATGACAATTTCATTTGAAACTTTCGTGCGATTTTTCATCAGTTTTAGGCGCTATTCCTGTTAACGTGAAAGCTAGCATGAATTTCTAAGAGGTATGAATTACCGCCCACGATCGTTAGCTATAAAAAATTTCACCAAACATAGGAGTTAAATGATCCATTTCACATTGTGGCTAGTGAGCTGAAAACAATTTTCAATAGCCGTATCAAAGAGATGAACAATAGAATTGTTAGTGCTTCCGATATGATGTGAAGTATTACAGGACAATTCGTGGCATGCGAAAGCTTTTATTTCGTCCTAGAGAATGAGCTGAAAGAACTTCCTGCACAGTTGTTATCAAGACTCGATGTTTTTTCCTAGAGCAGCTGAGTCAAATACTTTTCTAAGAATTCCGTGGCTAACATTTATATCGATGATAAATTACATGGTAAAACTGCCGCAATAGCATACCGACAATATTTTAGCATCGTGTGAATAACGGTCACCTGATTGACAAGCAAATTCCAGAAAGCATTTATTGCATACATTTCAGAACGCAAATATTCATCTTTTCGCTACTCCACAATGTTATTGCATGATCCACTGCATACTTTAGAGAAAACAATGCTAGAAACTTTGAAAATACTGACAAGAAATACATATCGTATCGAAAAACAATGTTGAATAAATTTTATAAACATCAAATTGAAATCTCCAATGTAATTCTCGAGCAAAAAAAAAGTAATTATTTTGAACATTTTAATTTTGCGAGAAATTAGTGTTGATTGTACAACCAATAAAATTGTTCAATGTTCAATACGATATAAGAATTATTCTTTCAAGATGTTCTGGCATTATGACTACGCAACAGCATTATTGCTTGGCAAATGCAAGTAACTTTACTTATTGCTAAAAATATTTAATTTATTAGTAAATAAATAGGCAATTTAACTAATAGGCACGAGTAACGACATGAGTGGTCTCAAAATTTTCAACTCAAATATTCAGTTAAAGATGATGTGACCGAGTACTAAAATTCCTCCATGTGGAAATATTTCGGAACACAACAAGCGAATAATGAAGTATTCGCTTCCGTCAGTTTGGTATTTTTCATTCAAATAAAATTGATTTAAATTCGTGATTTGTAATCTGCATTCAAAACCAGTTTTTTGTTCGCAATGTAAGAAATATAAGCTGTATTTAAATTAAAAATAGTCAACCTAAGAAAGGAATGTAGGAAGATTTATTCCCTGGACATAGTAGTAGATTCATAATCCCTTTATTTTAGAATCCCGTTCAGAATATTGAAGTAACTCACGGATATGTTGATATTACTGGATAGCTTCAGCATTGGCTCACTGCGAGGAGCGACTGAAAGTTTTCTTTTAATATTCCAAGTGCAGACTACAATCAAAAACTTAGCTGATGGAGGAACGTCGAACTTTCTGTCAAACATTTTTTGCCGCTCGCTCGGACCACATGCGTCATATTCCAGTATACATTCCAAAAAAATATAACTCAGTACTCACAGCAGTGAGTGAGAGAGAGCGCATTTTCTCGTCGACGAAAACTTGAGGTCACGGACAGACGGGCGGACAGACGGACAGACAGACAGACGGACATGGCGAGCACAATAGTGCATCTTTTCCATAAATGAGAAAATGCGCTAAAAATTAGAACGACAGAGAATAGCCTTATTCAATCTATGGTATGCTTGCCACCGCCATGGTTCCTATTTTTAAACACCGAAAGGAATTGCATAGCTACCTGTTTCATACTTGTGACATAGAAAGGATCTAATTCATTAAATTTTTCACGGTGCGGCGGTAAGTCTCATCAAAATTGAACCGATTCATTGCTCGTATAATGGACCAATACGTGCAATTTCGCGCTGGAATTATTGTGCTTGAATTCGATTCTTCATTTGCTTTCATTCATCTTCCTTTGGGAGAGTGATTTTCTTGTGGTAAGTACTTCGATCGCTATTAAAATTTAAATTTATCAACATATATCACTTCAATTTTCTAAAATCTTAGCCGTGAAGAAATATTTATCATTGTTATCATCTATTAGCAACACTCACTAGGTTTAATATTTTTTCAATGATGCCGTTTTTATCAATGTCTTATATACTCGTTGAAGCTATTACATCTTTTTCGAGAAAAGTCAACGTGGATTCATGTTAGAAATATCTCATTGTGAATGCTACTGAAAAATGTCATCGTATCGTGCAAATGATTTGTTTTTAATTGAAGGAGCTCTGCAAAAAGCAACGGACATGGTGATTAATTTTTCAACATTGAAGATATGTGAAAAATTTGTGATATACTCACTCTATCGGTGACTTCGACCATAAACCTGAAGCCTCTTCTATGCACTTCGTTTTCGTAGTCGAGCGTTTTGATGGCGTAGAGCTGCCCTACGGAAGCGTTGCCTGTCGTCTCGTTGCCTTTACGGGTTTCGAGTGACGGGCCTTCGGTCGGTAAACTGGTTTTTTGAATTCCCGATGCAGCATTTCGGTTGTGTGGGATACTTTTGTGCTCATGACTTGTCGAGTGCTCGGGAGTCGAACTCATAGCTCGGACAGCGAAGTGGTCCCAGCCCCAGCCTGAGTCCTCAACTACCTGTTGTGTCCGTAAGTGAGTTGGTAGATGGCGCTTCGTTCCCGGGCGTCTCCGGGACGATGAGTTTCCACTCCTTCTTGAGCAGACGCGGCGAGTTATCGTTCACGTCAGACAGACTGACGACCACCGTGCCGGTGCCTGAGCAGACAACATCGTTCTCAGCAACGCGTGCTGCTTCAATTTTATGGAGCCATGCATTCAGTTTACTTTGACAGTAGGGTACTTAGTGCGCAGTACATTAGTTTGATCTTAATTAGTTATAAAATCACAGTACATTTTGAGAGTGTTAAGAGTGCAGTACACATGTTGGATGTTTGGAAGTTTCATGATCTAATATATTTTTGGTATTTAGCTACTAAGTTTTGAGTATTTAAAAGGATTATACGTTAATTATAAGTATTGCAATATAATTTGTAGCACCTGAGCTCTAATGCTCGAGTTTTTATTTTATCACTAGTATCCGCAGACTTTCTACAACTACTTAAAAAATTATTTCCCACTTGCAAATAATTGTCTAGGGTTAAAATTTCTTAATTTAACACCTGCTTGGCGCAGATGAACATGGATTTACATGACCTATATATAACTAACCCTATCTTTTTAACATCAATTTTCACATAAGATGCGAAATTAATTTACTTCGGAAGATTTTTTTATGAAAAGAATGTTTTTCCTCACCCTTCAGGCCGCCACCATCACTAGCCACGACCTGCACGTGGTACTCTGGTGTGGTCTCGCGGTCGAGGCAGCACAGAGCTGTAGTTAGGATACCGGTCCGGGGACCGATCTGGCGAGTTAATTAAATAAAACATTAGGTAAAGGTGCGTGCACAGGGACAGTAGTGGCGGCCAGTAAAACTTTCATGTGCTAACTGCGCCCGATCTGGCGAGTTGATTAAATAAAACATTGGGTAAATGTGCATGCATGTGCACGCAGGGACAATATTGGCGGCCAGTAAAACTTTCATATGCTAACTGCGCTTGATCTGGCGAATTAATTATAAAATAAAACATTAAGTGAAGATGCATGCATGTGAACAGGGACAGTAGTGGCGGCCAGTAAAACTTTACTTTTATATGCTAACTGCGACTAATTACAATGCTACTGGTCTTGTGTAGATTCGGGTACTGAGTTCTCTTACGTGGCCAGTATATATAGCGCCTTTCGCTCAAAACTGACATAAGAACTATCCAGCATGTATGTCAAAAATCAAATGTTAATAATATCTCTATATTTGAACGCAAATAAAGCAACAAAATAGAATAAGATCAGAGAATATTCGGGTATTAATTATGGAAGTGAAATTATTAGCGCAGCATTAATGTCTTTCGGTAGCGACCAAATATGATTAGCGAAGAGTAATCATCAGGACTGTAAATAACAAAAGATGAGTGGAATCTTGACGTTCTCACGTAACTCATTGAGATTCCACTAACTAAATTAATCTTACATGCACAGCAGCGCAGAAGTTTCGCCATAATTTCAATGTTGTACGCTCAACTGAAGCAATTACTTAAAGCAAGACAGCAAAAGAGCAATCATCACATGTATAAAATTTCAATTGAGGATGAAATTGACCAAGAAAGCACTCGACTTGAACAAAAATTTATTATCGTTTCTGCAGATGGACAGAATTATTCGATTATGTGTCCGTGTCGGTACGCGACTATAATGAAATTCAAATGCTGATAGAATCTATGCAGTACGCACATCTTCGGGTACTGATATGCTCAGAATCGAATTTCAGAGCCTCTAAAGAGACTCGAGAAAATGCTAAACAACAATATACTGAGCACCAGCGCCTGAATAGCAAGCAGATTGCACTTGACAATCCCAATCTCGTCCAATAAAGGCGCGATAGATCCAATCGCTTCCCAAACCACGTCCAACAGATAAGAAGAGTTCTTTCACTTGTGTTCAGCCAAATATAAGTTGTTCCAATCAGCTCGGGAACAAAAACAGAACTATTCTTGGCCACTAAAAATATGCTTGTTGAGACTATGAGCGTACTTGCTCTTGAGTATTGGATGGATAAATTGATCCAGATGTCCGCACTTTGCTCGAATGTTGCTTTAAAGATTGAAAATATTCCCTGCTTTTAATTTGATCACTTTCCATTACTGGCTGTGATAGGAATGTGCGCGCGAAAATACATTTGTCATAATGACAGAGGGAATAAATTTATGATACACATTGCACAACATGGATAAAAATGAATGAGTTGCAAATAATTTTATTACTCCAACTGAAAATTTAGAGCATAAAAGAACAGGTGAAATATTGATCCAGAGTCAAGACAGGTCGATTAAAACCTTATATATCAGGATATTTTTGCAAACAAAAGGAAAAATGCAATGAAAAAGGATTGAATCGGTAACCTGGAAAAGAGGAGCTCCAGTTTTATCCTGCAGGACATTCTTCTCGATGGCGTAAGTGAGGCGAGCGTTGCTGCCCTCTGCAGCGTCGTCGGCGTCCCAGGCCTTCACCACCGCCACAGTCAAGTCTGTACAGAGCGAGGAGCCATATGCCATATACCATATACCATATACCATATATCATATACCATTTCCCATATACCATATACCATATATACCATATACCCGCTACTAGCATGGTAACTGGATATTGCAGGAGATGATCTTTGTGTTTGAACAGAAGGAATTCGGTGATCTTGTTTAATTAATAATGTCTTCTGAGCACGATTTTAAATGTGCACATAAACAGGAGAATTTTTGTGAAGCAGATAAATGGTTTATTTTGAGCACGATTCCATCTATGCGAAAGCGTATTATTCAGATTTGTTTATTGTTGTAATTAACGGCATGTATAACATTGACTTCCAAACCGGGCAGTTTGTCGGTTGTGTAGAACCTTTCTTGTGATTAAGCCCAATAAACAGCTCATATCGTGGGCAATTGGAGTTTTAGATATCAATCGCTATCATTATTCAGGATTAAATTCGTAAATCTTTGATACAATCGCCACCATGAGCATAACACGATTTTTTTTTGTTCTGGTAATTCGACTGAAACCAGGGTTTGGATGACAACAGTAATTGCTGATAACATCATTAAAATATCCAAGCCTCGATACATGATCGGTAATGTGCCCGCCACTTTCGCAGTCAGTTACGTCATATAATCCGTTTTGACGTGAACGTGTACATTAGAACAATGAATTAAACCTCTAGAACCATATCCATGCATTAATACTAATTTTGACCTTTGATAGGGGTGATGAGAAAGTTTTTTGATGAAACAATTCTGAAGAGAAACTTTTGACCCATGCAAATTGCGTTCATTTCCGAATCGTATGCGGCAGAAGTTTGTGTGTGTAGTGCAGAAACTTTATAAGATGTCGAACACTACTCAACTTTAAGAAAATTTTCATCCTTTAGCACGAAATTTTTGAAGCAAACAATGTCGAAGAAACATTAATTTTAAAGGGCATTTCCTATATCTGTTCACACACATAAGATTTCCAAAAATATTTGAATGGAAACAACGTTGTTTCAAATGAGAAGAAGGCAGCCTCACATAAGGGACTATGAATATATATCATCACCTGTTTTCAACATGTCTATAATAATCTCAGTGTGAGCAATATAATTATTATTTCATTAGGTTGTTTTAGGTAACAAGTCCTGGCACGGAGCTTTTCTCTTATTCGACTTCTAAAGTTGAGAATTTTTTATTGAAAATTTATTCCTTTCAAACAAATAACGCCTAATCTCCCCAACATATTTCAATTTGTATGCACAAAACCAAGATAAAGGTAAACAATTATTTTATATTACCCGTTACTATGTTTCATGACTCACCTATGGGCCCATTTTCCTGGACCTCTCCGAACATGGTGGCGTTCGGAAAGACTGGCGCGTTGTCGTTAATGTCTTTTACAATAATAGTTAATTCTGTCTCGACCACGTGGATGCTCCTCCTAACTCCACTCCCCAGCTCAATTAAGCGAAGTAGTCGCTGATATTCGTCGAACAAATTAAACTGAGATAAAGAGCCTCCCTCGTATAGGCTGTCCAGGCAGCCCCCGGAATCGAGTTTAATTCCAGGCTGGTTTGTGAGCACGCTGCGCTTGTGTTGGGAGTTCGACTGGACATTTTCTGGTATTGCTGAGTATGTTTCACCAGGTTCATCGTGGAGCATTTGAATATTTCGTGAATAATCTTGATCTTCATCTAAATTATTGTCGGCGAAATTCACTTGATTTTGCTCAAAGCCGTCTAAAAAAATTGTTTGTTCACTCGCCACGATATCATCAATGTTTTGGAACAACGGTTGAAACTTGGCTGAAAAAATATTTAGCTCCTCTTGGTCAATTTCTTGAAGTTTATCTTGCTTCAGATTATTTCGTGACAACCTTCCATCTGAAAAATCATCTTTTTCTACTTTTTTGCTGCTGATTTCTTCATAATTTTTTAAATTGACAGCATCTTTCTTAGCCTTTATACTTCCGGCCGTGGATGATTTGGATTTAAGATGAATATCCTCCACCAACATTCCCTTGTACTTGTCGTCCGCATCCTCTGCTCCACGTTCACTGACATTAAATTCGTCCACATTTGTGTCTCTCTCATCAAACTGTTCTTCATGATATCGTGATGACGGTGGGATCGTATGCATTAAATTGTGTACTTTACTTGATTGCAGCTCATTATCAATTTCTCGACTAAGTTTTCGTGGTAACCACCAAGAATCTTCAATTATATCTGAGCCGGGCACCGAGGAGATATTAGAATATGATTGTCGCCTTTTAATATCACCAGGATGTATCAATTTTTCTTTTCTAACCGATCCATCGATTTCTATTTTTTTATTCCTATCCCTATTCCATCTACCTCTTAAATATGAGGTAGATTTCTTTTTTCCATTCATAGGTCGTTCGATGGTAAAACTCATTGCTTTGTTCTCTTGTTCCATATTAAGAGGTTTATAAAACTTTTTCGTTTTATCCCTCTTCGCATTTTTTCCAGACCAAACCTGATCATCGTACCTCATAGCTCTCCGTTTGATATGTGCTGCATTTGATCGTGTTTTCGGCGCGTTATGGTCGCGCAATGCCTCATAAATATCCGATAAGACGGCGTTAGCGTGTATTTCATCTCGACACGTGGCATTCACAACAGTCGTTTCAGAAACCGCACTCAATTTCGAACTAATGTCCAACTGCCGTAAATTCTCATCTGCTGAGGTAGTTTGAAGCTCGAGGAGCTGCTTCTCCCGCACTGACGTGTTTATTATCCCCTCGAGAACAGACGGATTATCTTCATCTAATTGAATTTCCAGACCGGGAACAGGAGCTTGAAAAGGACCAACTCGCAGTCGTGCATTGCTTCTAATGGTCGGGGAGACGACGTGGGGCTGCTTTACAAGCGCATCTCCAGGGCCGGCGTCTCGTTTCCGACGTTTATTATTCCCTATTAAGAGCTCAGCGTTAACTTTCAACTCAACTGACGGACCAATGAGAGGAGAGTCAACAGTCAGGACGTTACCTTCAGATAATGAGGCAATTATCTGATGATCGTCGTTTTCTCCGTGAAATTCCGTTGCTTCAAAGACATTAGAAGCTGCAACGTCTTTTTTAGGAGATATTCTTTGATTTGTTCCTTTATTTAAGACACTGAAATAATTTTCCCGCTTATGGAGAGGCTGGGAATATTGAATTATTCTCTTTGCTTCTGTATCAGTAACGTGGATCACGTCTCTAATCTGGCTATCTTGCGAGGACGATTGCGATGAAGTGGATATTCTGTAGCGTTTTACTTCCTTGTTGTCATGGAGACCAAGATTTTCGTTGAATGTCACGTTGCTAGTAAACTGCGTCACTTCATCGGTCACGTTGTCGTATCCAACTCGTGACTCATATTGAAGGTGTCTCTCGCTACGGCCTTTGAATGATTCACCCTCCGACAACAGAGGTAAAGGCTCCTGATGAACCTGATCGGTTTGAGCGCGCAATTTCCTGCCTTTGTATCGCGATGTAATGCCCGTCTTTAGACTTCTCTTTTGAGACAATATCAAGCCAAGATCTTGACGCGGAGCAGCTTTTTGCGTGATTAAAGTAGCCCCATTGGAGGAAATGTTTGTAGGATATACGAGCGAACTCGGATGGCGCTGAGAAACAGATGCGCGCCGCCTCCATTTTTGGTCGCTGTTCGTAATGCCGGTAACTCCTCCATAAACTTTCTTCCTCGCCTTTGATTCCAAATGCGATTTCGGATTTACCAGAGTGGGTTCTTCTAAATTGAATTGGCTTGCTCCATGATACTTGTAATTGGAAAAATTCGATGTAAATGTCCCAAGATGATATTTATTTCGTATCCTAACCTGATTTTCTCGGTGGCCTTTCCTGACTTTATCGTTCCGTTTGTGTCGTTTATTGTTGGAATTGCTCTTTACTTTGCCTGAGTTGATGAAGTAGTTTTGATTTAAAACGAATTTTTCGCTGTTTAGGCTACCATCTGTTGAAAATGGCAGAGGTTCATCATCAGTTTCTTGTAGTAGCTTTCCATCCTCTGGGATGGAGTCACCACCATATGCAGGGATTTTTTCATCCACGCTGGCGCCCTCCAACTCAGCACCTCCATAAAAAGGAGGCTCCCGGTTTTGGCTCCAGTTTTTTTGACCATCACTGACTTGGATTTTCAACTTCCAAGTGGGCTTGCCCTTTGGAGGATCTCGGTCGAGAGCCTGAGGTCAAAATTTAATTTCACAGATTAGCCTTAATTAAACTTGAAAGACTTGACTCTAATTAATGCATTTTTAATTATAGTGTAAATAGAGTGAAACTGGAGAAGCTTTAAAGACATGAACTAAAAAATTTCATTATGCAAAATATATAATATGGTTTGATCGGAGTATATTATGTTTAACGACCCATAACGAGTAAAACTATTAAAAATAATAAAATTACGCGATTTCCTCATGCCTGATGGATACATTTGTTCATCACGATAAATTTATGTAGGATTGAGGAATTTATGCTCCGCAAATATTTTAAGGAAGATTATTATCAAATTTCATGTTATAATAAAACGTCATATATTTAATGAATTATGGGGCAACACATTTTTTTAATTCATTTGTGTTGAGTTCTCTCTTATGTATTGTGAGCAGTTAGTTGCAACATCACTCGGCAGAAACACCAGTCTTTGCACCTAATTACTTAACCCTAAATCATGTCACGATTGTCTTGCTTACCATCGTGCAATTTAGTTGTGCAACTTGGATTCTGTTTTCAAATTTCAAAAATTTAAGTTTTTTGTCTGTAATATTTGTTACTTGTTGATTTATTGCTAATATTTTCCTAAAAGTTTTTATTTCCACTTATATAGTCAACGAGAGCCCAAACGTATAAGTAAGCTACTCCCACAGAGTGCCACTTGTTGGTACAGAATATTGCGTTTAGAGCATTCGAACTCCTGTCATTTTCAAACAAAATTATTGGAACTTTCTACATTTAGAACTATTCCATTTTTGCTGCTAGGCACATGCTCCTCTGCTTGCCAAGATAAAGCAATTGCCTACGCCACATGGTTTTTATTTTCTTAATAGCGTAAATATCAAAGTTATGAAATTATTTCAAAACATCATAGTGGAATACTGCAAAATTTTACGTCGTATTTTGCAGTTAATAAGAGGCATAATCTTTCCAAAATGCGCCGAATGTTTTTATTCTGGGAAATGCTACTTCATTTATTGAGATGGAACCCGAGGATTCGTCTGCTTTTATTCATACATTCATTTCTAATCTAAGACATCATCACAGAAAAACATTAAAATGGCCATCGTTGCCAGCAATAATCAGCTCGAGGAATATATTTTTTATATAATACACTCAGGGATTCCCCTTACACTCATATGAAAGTTTATTTTTTTCTAGAAAAAACTTGAACTTTCTGTGATGCCACGAGGCAATATGAAGGCTGATATTAAAAAGTGATATTTGAGCAATTCAAGCGTTATTTTGTATTATAGAGAACACTCGACGTGTTACGTGTTTAAAAAAACTGTCTATCATCCACAGGGAACAATCTGTTCCCCATCTGTCCCCATCAATCATGGAGATTGTTCCTACTCCCCCTTGCTCAAAGAAATATGATTTTGCTTCGATCCACAGTTGGGATTAGAACTGCCGTGATAAAGTTGCGTGAAATGCGTATCGTTTGGTTTATTTTCATTGTGGTTTTCCAAAATTTAGTTTTTGATTGATCAAAAATGTCTGACAAGGGAGTTTTGGGACAAGTTTTATTTATTTATTTTACGATTCAATGCAACGTTTTTAACAATCTCGTCAGATAATTTGCATATAAGTTAGTCAAACGAAATGCATTATGATCTATCAAAGGTTTAATTAATATCAAGGAGGTCCTTTTAATGTATGCAAATTTTGCTGAGACTCGGGTGCCATGATTCTGTAGCTGCTACAGGATAAAAATTATTATTATTATTTTGACAACATGAACGTTATGATCATAATTAACTTTTGATGAACCAAAAGTTTCTGTAGCTACAAGGCTTTCTTATGTTTTAACAGCTTCCCAATTGGGACCAACATTATTATTAAATATTTTGTCACTGAGTATTTATCATTTAAAATTACTCTATCTTAAAATATGAAAAATCGTAATATTTTAAACGATAAATTAATTCCCGTTAGTCGCCTGAAATTTTATCCTTTTCTGTGTTCTTAGTTATATTCACAGGCGTAATTAGATGCAAAAATGCGTTGCTCATGCAGCCAGGAATTAAAAAGTGCAAGAATTTTCAATTTTACCAGTACCAGAAGGCAATACCAGAGAAAAATGATCAAAAATATTTTTCGCCTAAATTTTGTCTATTCTATCGTTTCTAAGTTACATTGCGAATCAACATTTCCACATTTTATATAAAAGATTTAGATTACAAAAAATTACTGCGATCCCTAAAAATCAATTTACCCCATTTACCCTCAAAGCACTTCTACCTCACTTCCTATACATTAATAACGTATGTAATATGTAATATTATTAATGAATTTGGATGTTCTAAAATCACAAACTTGTTGATAGCTAATGTTCAGCCGGAAGCCGTTAGTCATGTAGTTATCACTGCTCAATGCAACGTTCTATCCGTGTAAGATGCTAATATTCGATAACATATCGCCACCTATAGAGACAAATGTATCGCAATTGTGACCGTTGAATATAAAATAAAAAATCAGCAAAATTTAATCAAAATGTTATCTAGTTATATTTTAATAAATCCGGTTTCAAATCTGCATTCTTATTTCTCTCCACCCAAAACCTATTTCCCTGCGCAAACCCATTTTCTGCTCGTACAATTACACTGCGGTTCATTCCATATATCAGGATCCGGCAATCAAGTCGGTATAAAGTGCATGTCCTGAGACCCATGTGAATACTTGTATAAATATCATGTATGTACTTGTATTAATACAGTGACGGTAATTGTAATAAGGCCGTGTGGGCATTTCTGCTGGATTAAGTACCGCCGTTGGTCTTACAAGTTCCTCAGTAATCCGAACTCTGGGCAAATGATCGCGCATAATCGTTAAAGCGCTCGTTACGTTGACGGGAATGAGAGAACTCGACCTCTGCTACCTTATATGCATGCAATGACGCTTCTCGCTTCCCGTCCTTTCCATGGAAAATAAATCAACAAACTCATTTACCTGTACAAATTTCGATGATTCGGTAATCCTCTTCGCAAATTAAATTGGATAGGTAATTCAATAAATTTCATTAAATCACGATTCAAGTTCATAATTGCATTAGATTTGCTTAACAGATGCATATGTTGCTACGTTGTTACTTTCAATGTTCTTAAAGCTGAGGTCAATTGATAATTGCCAATGAGCAGAAGTTAAATCATTTTATATTGTGATCATAACGTTATAATGTCACGAAGTCATGCATGTTCTGCTCATGCGTAACTTGACAAAAGCTTCAGCGCGGGCCTGTAGAACTACACGCGAACTGATGCAGAGCTATGATTAGGGTATGGCTTCAATTATACATTAGGGGTATTGCCGCTCTAGGTCACACAAAGATCATATATTCGTGTTTGTAATCTTTGCAGCAACTGATTATATGGAATATTTGATGTAGCCATAATGAATTTTTTTCAGTTTCCTCTCATCTAATCAGATGATACACATTTTATTCATTTATGATTATTATACACTGATTAAATGAGTAACTGCTTATTCGCGATTATTCGGATATCAATTATTTCCGTTAATTTTCTTGCTGCGAAAAAATTAAACTGAAAATGAATTAATTTTTTCAGTGAAATTAGATAAATATTTCTGAAGGTATGATGATTTTGTTCAGATACAAAGTAAAATTTAAATTGTTACTTTCTTGATGTTCACAGGCATGAACGCACTTGTTCATAGCACACGCGCATGCTATGAATAGCACTGCTATGACAAAACGTAACTTATTCAAAATTCAAAATTCATAAGAAGGTTAATAATATTTTCAATCTAGTTGCATGGGTGAATTCAAATCGTGCCTGTGATGACTTATGTGATCTCTAATTCTGACCTCGCTAGCAGATCGCTGGTCGAGTATTAATTAAATTTAAGGCAGTCGTTCATCCACTTTAAATTTTTGAGAGTTTATCAGTGACTGTAGTTACTCCATCGGTAGGAAAATATTGTTGTTGAAAATATTGTTGTATGAGATCCTGAATGAATCATTTACTGTAGGAGTGAAATGGACATTGTAGGAGCAAAATGAATAGACGCTATACGACACTTCACTTGAGAAATCATGTTAAATTTATAAAACAAAAACTTGTGAAAAGGAAATCCAATTAATGTCATTTGTAAATTTATGTCTTCATTTGAGTTACGTTGATTATTCATAATACCTGTGTGAAAATCCTGATTCTTAGGTTGATTCTCGTCCATTAGTTTTACTGAAAACCAGTTGGCCGATTTATGACCAGTAGAACCATTAGTAAGAAATCAATATATAATTTAGTTCAAATTATAGAATAATGAAGATATTGGATGGTGAGTGATCTTATTAGGTTTACGTAAAATACAAAAGTACATGGCATAAAAAAACATTCAAAATTAAGGTAGACAAATTAGCATGAAGACGAGGTTGTATGGATTCAAATATCGATAAATCTAAATTAAAGAAGACAACAATACAATTGTTGCTACAAATTATAATTGTATCACTTAGTAATAATTTGTACTTTTCTTATTAGTATTTTAACTTTCTCATATCAATTGAGCTCGACCATCCAATCCAGGTTTATAAGGTCTTCAATACGATATGTGTTAAATCGAAGTTGTAATAGAAACTACGATATAACACAAATTTATTATCTATTTAAAATTTTAAAATTAATAAAGGGGCGGTCAAAAAAGTTTTCCAACCAATGAAAAAAGTGGATTAAACAATATTTAAGACGTTGAAACCACAAGAACGTAATGACCGTAAATAAATAAAAGGATATCTTCTTAAACAATCATTCCGTCCTCTACTTAGCAGCATTCTGCCTAATCCTTGCCTAAAATGAACAAATCCCTTAGATTTGATCATTAATTTTACCGGTAGTTGTCCAAAGATTTGTTCGACTGATGATTGCAACAGTCGAACAAATCTTTCGTGAATTGAAGATAAATCATTTCGTGATTGCTTTAAACGAAAGATCCTCGATTTAATCCCCGGGTTGGAATATCTTGATTTCTTTTCTAATTAAATGCAACATAGATGTTAAAAATGCTGAAATTAAAATTATATCTAAACGCGTTCTGATTTAATGTATTTAAGTTACAGGACAAACGTAATTTCCCGACATGACAGGCTATATGGATGCGTACTCGAATTTCCCCCTGCATATTCACTGCGCCAGACATCAGTCCCTAAAGCTAAGAAAAATCTTTGAAAAGATAATAATCATTTAAAGAACCTCAACTCTTCATCTTAGTCAGCGTGAATTTAACTTGAAAAGATTGCTCAATAAATAAACGTTATTTATATGGGTTGCATACTTAAATTAATTATGGTTGATTTGATTACTTCACTAGATGAATATAACATGTATGGGGCGCTTTATACAATAAATTTTATCTTAATGGGTTGTTTCGTAAAATATATATATACCTACTCTGAATTGTTAAGTTCAAGCCACACATTTTATTTTAATGTAGTCATGATATAATAAAATTTATTTAAATGGATTGCTTCATTACATAAAATTATTTCAAAGGATTGCTTGAGCCAATAAATTTCTTTTGATTGAATTGCTTCATTACACAAATTTTTTTTCAATATATTGCATGATATAATAAATTTTATTTCATTGGATTGCTTCATAATATAAATTTTATTTCAATAGATTGCATAACATAATAAATAAGATTTGAATGGATTGCTTTATAATAAAAATTTTATTTCAATGGATTGTATGATATAATACATTTTATTTCATTGGATTGATTCATAATATAAATTTTATTTCACTGGATTGCATGATATAATAAATCATATTTGAATGAGTTGCTTCATAAGCTAAATTTTATTTCAATGTATTGTATGATAAAATAAATCATAACTGAATGAGTTGTGTCACTGTCACATAATATATTTCACTTGCTGAGCGCTCACCCTGAGCTGCGTCACGACGCCCGTCTGAGGGTCGATGGAGAAGAAAGCGTCCTGAGACGGCAGCCCGTCTACCCCGTCACCCGTCAGCGTGTACAGAAGTCCCCCTCTGTCTACTCTGTCTTTATCCACGGCAGTTACCTGAGTCGTCAATGTTAGGACATAATTTTATTAAGTGAATGATATTTTGATTTAAATGTTATACAGTTGAGTAGGGCGAATATTTATACAATGCATAGTTTGCGGAAACCATTTTCCAATGTTAATAATGAACATAATTACTTACTGGACGATTAGAGTTAAATTTAATCTACAATTATTTGTCTGATGCATCCAGCTTCGCACATGAAATATTTGGGTTTAATGCTTTGGTGCAAGTTTCTTTTTGTCTCCGCGCATAGTAAAGAAATACCCACCTCAGTATTGACGCACGATTCGTTTTTACTTGCGTTAGCATGAAAATTAAGCAAAAGTAATTTGTCCAACCACAGCTTGAAATTCTTAAATTGTAAAAAAAATCACGGAATGATGGAAAGACATTTTTTGTGAATTTAAACGCGTCCGGAGTTAATTTTTATTAAAAAAACGAAGCAATAAACGCACCTGCACGATGGGCATAGGCAGGTCTCGGTCGTCCTCCTCGATGACGATGACGCTGGGCGGCGGGTCGCGGAACTCTGGCGCGTTGTCGTTGACGTCGCCAGCCGCGACGTGGACGAGGCTGTGCGACGTGGCGCCCTCAGCCTCCGCAGCCACGATCAGGTTGTGCTAGCCACACAAGACGCTCTTATTGCTCGTTTAATAATATAATGAATATTTATTATTTCATTGTTACACGCAAAATAATCATTCATATATATTTGTTTAATTATTTCCTGGCAAATTGAGTTGTTGATTTGTGATCATCAGGTTGTGCTAGCCAGACAAGACGCTCTTATTGCTCATTTCATATTATAATTTAATATTATACTTTATAATTCATAATATTATTATAAAATTATAACTTAATTTTGTTCTTATACGCAAAAATATTCATTCAAATGTATTTGTTTAATTATTTCGTGGTAAATTAAATTGTTAATTTGTCTTCATATAGCCAGCGTTTCATTTAGTGGCGAATGCAAATTGATGTAATGCCGCAAGAGAAGCGAGAAGCAGTCGTGTCAATTCTAAAATTAATTTAGAGGCTTCATCTAATTTCTTGTATCGCAGTTCAGTAGGAACGAAGTTTTGGAGCACAGCTAATCGAAGGATCAGTAATGATTGTCAAGGGTCATCACTAAAATTCGCACGTCCAAGTCCGGACACATGAAACTACATCTCACAATTGAGTATCTTCAAAATGTATCCCATGTTTAATAGGCCGCGAAATTTCACTTGAAAACGGCTAAAGCATAGGGTAAAAGCTGTTTTAAAAAAGGTAAAAGCTGCTGGAACGATTTTGTTAAAAAATTTTTTCTTTGCCAATTTCATTTTCTACTTTGTCGGGAACTTTCTTTAATCGAAAATTCGTTTAATGGGAATCAATTAAATTAATAGTTTCAAATGCGAGTCATGAATGCAATACGCCGAATATTCAGTTTCAACGAGCATTTTCTGTGCGTCCGCCATTAGCAGGTTAGGAAAGCGCGCGCTTAATTTACATATCGTCCATGTTCGTTCATATTCGCGGGTGGCAGATTCTTTTTTTAATTTAAACTTATTCTTACTTTTTAATTTGGATTTTGACAAATACACACGTTTTTCATAATGTAATAGTTCTGTTGCAAGTGAAATTACTAGAAAAATTTCATGATATTTGACTTTCAAGATTTAGAAAAGCACATGCCTGTCAAACTCATAATTAATTAACGCATTTTCATTGCACCGAAAAAATCTCCGCACGTATACAATTTGAATGACCCTTATTAAAATTTTTTAACTCCTTCAGTTTGTACTTCCATATAATTCTTTTATTTTAATATCTGGGCAAACATACAATTATTAACTGCACAATTTATACTTCACGGATTCCCGAAGTAAGAAACGTGCTAAGAGGTTAGACCAAAGTTCGCACTGTACAGATGTTCTCAATATCCAAACCGATATTTAGGTATCAAAGAGTATATGTTTCAGCGATAGTATTGTGATCACTTTATCGTCGTTCTGTGTTACAGACAGGCAAAATGATGAGTTTCTAGGTTAACCTTGATAAAATTTGCATTCAAATTCGTTACCCAACAACTGACTGAAATGAACAATATTGCCTCGCATTACATTCACGAGGAAGCGCAATGTCTTCAGTCCTTCCGAACTACGTTTCTGGGAAGCTTCCAGCATTCCACCTGGAGGAATTATTGCAGGAATAAACTGCATTCCTTCAGGAGGAATAATCCTTTGCTATGAAGGGTGGATGAGCCTTAGAAGCGCATGAGTCTGGTATTTAAATGCTATTTATACACAACCAAACATTACAATCTACATAACTACATGAAATACACTTCATAATAATATTTCAATCATGTTCCAAATCATGTTCTACTCGTATTATGCACATTGAATTGTAATAAAATAAAAAATCACGATTCAATGCAAATTAAATCGTCGTTCAATTATGCAAATCACGCTTGAGACGCGTGTACACATAATAGCATTCCAAATCTTTCATTGAGGGGAATGGAAATAATTAGAGTTTGTGGAGTCGCATTCATCAAAATTTTTTCAATTAAAACGAAGAGACACATGTGGGCAATTGGAAACTAAAGCTTCTCCCGCAGTAGCACATCTAAAGATATTCTACGTATGTTGGTTTCAATAGCGAGATGTTTACCATAATTTTGTCATCTCATTGGCAGTCCGAGGCGGTAGATTGAATGAAGCCTAAGAAAATGTTTATCTTCGTATGTAAATAGTACATCTAAAATGAACAGCACCAGCATCCAAGTCTTGCAGGAAAACAGATCGGAATTGATAGTGTCATTGTGGATCTGATATGATATAGTGTGGTCGGACCTGATAATCTTCGATGTATGAAATTGCTAATATATTTTTGAATATGATTGTTATCCAATATTCGTTCCAATCTGAGCGTGCTCTCTGAATCAAATTTTGCAAACGGCGCTGGTAAACTGAGTTAGGATTTCAATAATTTCTTCAACTCCGTCTTCCTATAAAATTAACCTTACCACCATCAAAAGCTCACATGGTGCTGGATCTCATGGTCCAGATCACCATCAAAAGCTCACCTGGTGCTGGATCTCATGGTCCAGATCACCATCAAAAGCACACCTGGTGCTGGATCTCATGGTCCAGATCACCATCATAAGCTCACATGGTGCTGGATCTCATGGTTCAGATCACCATCAAAAGCTCACCTGGTGCTGGATCTCATGGTCCAGATGAGCCCCGAGTGTGATGCGTCCAGTATGCTGGTCTATTGTGAACAGTCCATCTCTGTTGCCACCAGTGATGCTGTAGCGAACTTTGGCTCCTGTTATGTGCGAAAATATTGAATAAGTTTTCAAACGTTGGTGTATATTTTACCAATAAACTATTTATTCAGCTGTGAGAACTTAACTGTTGCAACAGAGTACCTGCAATACGAGAAAACTTTAAGTAATATGAATTTTTAAAAATAAAAGGAAAACTAAGTTCGATGGAAATCGTGCATGTTGTATCTAGGGGGAAAACTACAAGAGGAACTCGTACTACTATGTTAGAGTATTATTAAATGTCTTACTGATATACAACAAGTAATTTGGTCCGGCTTGGAATTCAGTCTTATATACAACGAGCTTGACCCTGCCCTTCCTCGCCAGAATATTTTCAATGGAGAGTTTGGTGATCCGGTGAACATCCGGTGAACTCACTTCGGTGATCCGTGAACATAGTTAGCAGAGTATTCATGCCACATGAAACTGACTAATACTCAAGTATTGCTGTAGCAACCATTTGTTGCTACAGCAACAACATTAACATTTTACCATTAATAACTTTTTTTTGTATTATTTATTCTGATTAAGACGGATTATTTCAGTTTGTACTAACAAGCACCGCAAAATTTTAAAATGTTTATCACCGATAATTTATTGCCATAAATTAATTCAGTTTCAGTTAAACGAAGTGGAGTCGTTAGCTCAACTGGTGGGACTGGCTGAGTACATTTTTCCGTTGAAATGTCGATTCGATTCCGAAATGTTTCATAATCTTTGAAAGTTTAACTTTCGACAGCAAATTTTCAAATTTTCTTAAAATTTGTGCATGAATTACAGCTAAGCCGGACACTAATGTCGGAAAAAATATGTTCAGAATCGTTGCAATAATGACTAATGGCGATAAAATGAAAAATACGCTGTTAAGATTTGTTAAGAATTTTATTACATCGCAGAAACCAACGAATTTTATTCCTTTGACTAAAATGAAGTTAATAAGTTAGAATAAATTTAAAAATTATGGAATAAAGCCAGTAATAGTCACAATATATGCTTCACCCGTTTGATTTATTTGCAGCTGTGAACATGAGTATATCAACACCTTGACACCTTTAGTATTCAAATTAATAGCTGCCAAACGAATTTCGGGACACGAATCAACGATACGAATGCGATTGCTTGTTTCTTAGGCTCCGTATCACTGAAAAATAAAATATTGTAAATAAGCTTGGTATTAGCCAGGTCATGGAATCTCAGATAGCTGCGGCGGAGGGCTAAGTGTCCTCGTAAACAAGACTCCAGTGAGACTATAAGTGGAAGCAGAACTGGACTGAGAATTGAGTTAATGATTAAGTTCTAATCTAAAAAATTGAAATCTCTCCGTTTTTTTTTAATTATTCGCGTTCGTTTCAGAACCTCGCCATTTTTTATTTTATTTATAAATTTTTTACTGCTTGCCCCGGAATGTATTAAATATTGGTAATAATTCAGGAAAAATAATCAAATTTGGTACTAGCAGTGAAAGTTATTTAGCTATGACATCTTTGCTCGCGCGTCTTGCAGGTGAGAATTAAATTTAAATGTATGTAATGCCCTACCGTCAATATTTTTCCAGCACCACATCCTAGCCGATGAAACATGTACAGAGCCCGCCATAATGAAGTCGACCCATTAATCCTGGAATAGAGATCGCAGCTCAAAAATGGCCCAACAAAGCCAATCATCGGTCTCTATCAGTGTTTGACGAGGACTTTTTGACACCTTTTCGTTTACGTACGAACACATTCGGTCCAATTTCGGGCCGCGTCGTTAAGCAGCAGACGGACGGCAACGGGACCACATTTCCGCACGAATTGAGACGAGTGTTTTGAATCATAACGCGCGGGTCTCCAACGAGAATTGCAGTGCCTGCTTCATAGGCCAGCGTCCACTTTTGCTTTCCCCTTTGCCAGCAGAGAACAAAAGGTACCAACTTTTAGGCATTATGTAAATGGCATTCTGGTGAAAAAATGAGGCAGATTGGAAGAATAAGAGTGATGGCAATGGAAATATTCGGAGATGTTACAATAGAGACAATGATTGGAAAAATCTTATTGCGTAAAAATATCTCATTTGCTCACAGAGAGAAAAATATGAGACAAATAAAAAACGATTTGACCTCAGTTTGTTTCAATAATGACTTTACATTCACACAAAGAAATCCGAGTC